ACATACCAAAAACTTACACAACATTTTCATATCTCAGTGTCAAATCCTGGGGTGGAACTCAACGAACACAACAACCAACGCCAGCAGTGGGGGCGACATGCGCGAGGTTCTTCTCTTCACCGGCGACGAAGCAGGTTGGCAACTTATTGAAATGATGAGCTACGGATGAATAAATGAAGTGAATAAACGTGTAGATGCTTTGATACTTCAACATCCGACTACCTTGGTGAGTCAAATGATCCGTTCATAAAGGCATTCGTCTTTACTATGATCGTTTAAGTAATTTACAAACGGAAAATTGTGCCTCCTAATTTTGAAGAGAGGGGGTAAGTTAATTTACGTGTTTTTTTCGAATGCTTGAAGGTATCAATCATGAGTTATTGTTATTTGTGGCGTTGATGCAAAACATAAATTTCATGATATTTAAGTGGGCTGGAGACGGCGAAATCTTTTCGCGTTCACTTGCCTACCAAACGAGGCAGACGCGCATCACCCGAAATAATTTGCGTTTTAAAATTACTTTTTAAAGACAATACTTCTAAAGAATCCAGTGTCTTTAATGTTTTGCACGTAAAATGAATTATTAAATATATTAAATATATTAAAAAAAATTAATTTCCACTTTTTAAGATAGAAAAATTTTGTAAATTTTCTAAATTATTTATTCTGTTAACTGATTTATGCATTGCCTCTGACTTTGTGCAAGTGTGCAAAATTTCTGATCGATTGGACGAGTAGAAAAGTGTGTCAAATATCGATTATAAGATTTGTAGCAGACAAAATTATTTTTATTTCTCTTGTAATATCGAAATTATTTTTTTAATTTTCAAAATTATTTATTCTGTCAATTGATTCATGCATTTTCTCAAACTTTATGCAAGTGTGCAAAATTTCAGATCGATTGGGCAGGTATAAGTGTGTCAAATATCCATTATAAGATTTGTAGGAGACAAAATTATTTTACATTTTTTTTAATATTGAAATTTTTTTCAATTTTAAAATTATTTATTATGTTAATTGATTCATGCATTTTCTCAACTCTACGCAAGTGTGCAAAATTTCGGATCGATTGGACAGGTAGAAGTGAGTCAAATATCGATTATAAGATTTGTAGCAGACAGACAAACAAACAAACAACAAAAAGTGAAGTTAATGAGAAGTGTTGTAAAAAAATTGACGGCACTCTGAACTTCCATTTTGGCATCGAGGACCCGGACACTACGCTCTGATGTCCAAATTGCTGACAGAACCAAAATCTAGGCTGATCCTGCAACATTTTTGTGCCATTAGGCACATTTAGAATTTCTGATAATATTTGCTATTAATTTGAAGTGATGTAGCCTGCCAATAGTTTTAGTCAAAGTATCACTCATTAAGTTCTTCACCAGTAGCCTTCATCTCACATAAAAAGCATTGACTACTACTGAGGATGTCCCGACCCTTCTGTCTATAATAACATGGAAAATGGAATAAAATTCTCATATAGGTATAAGTCTGACCTGAGACAACTGATCTGGGAGTTTATATCTGAATTAAATTCTCTTGGGTCAATGACGATTAGAATTTTATTCAATTTTGTTACGCATCTTGGAGCAACATTGTTTGCCACTTAGTCAACATATCTAATTCTTGATGATTTGAATCCTACCCGATGATTTGAACAAAATGAAATGCAATCGAACCTGAACCTTCTTGTCTCAGAGCTGAAAGTCTTCAATGCGGACGTCGTACATACCACTAACTCCACCGTCATCGCCACCACCACTACTGCCGGCAACACCACCACTACCACCTCCCCCTCCGTCCTCTCCACCACTACTGCCACCACTCCCGCCCCTACTACCACCTCAATCGCCAACACAACCACCACCACCGCCACCACTCCAGCTTGTCCGTCCCCCTTCGTGCTGTCGTCCGCCGGGTGCCTCGCCGTCACAACAACGACATCAGCGGGATCAGGTGGAGTGTGTGTGATTTATACAACCTGTGGGTTTCTCAAGACCTAATAAAAAATAATCTTCCGTGCAGCTCATATTTTTTTCATTGGCTCATGAATAACACTTTGCTGAATCATGAAATGAGGAGTTTCAGCAGGTTCAAATAAAGAATTTGTGGGACTAAATCTTGTTGAGTACTAAATGACGACGTGCAGTTCAACAAAAAAAGCTTTATTATTATGTTGCGCAACGAAGATCACTGAGTAATTTATTTCAGAACGATTCTATTATTCTCAGAAATTTTAATAATCACAAAATTTTGATCAGCGGATGAAAATTCTTGTTATTGACGGAGGGAATTTTTTCGTGTAATCTTTATTTTAGGCCAAAGCCATAAAGGAAAATAATACAATATGGAGATACTTATTTAAATGACTAACAATTATTTGCATGAGTTAGCATCATAGACCAATTCATACAATGAACTCTCAAAAGAACACATCCTACATATTTAACTTCGGCACAACTTTGCGCGTTTTACTGGATTACAAACCAAGCTCAGGCCTCCTCGGGTTCTACTGCAAGTTTTTCAGAATTATTTGAACTTCACATCTCTTAGGTTTTGTAATTATTTTTGAACACTATTTTTCATGTTCTGTCCGAAGCAAAACTAGGTAAGAATAATTTATTTTGATATTTTATAGTATAAAGTACGATCAATTAACCAAACGACTTGTGGCACGACTTTTCCGGTAGTTGTAGTCACCTCATATTTAGCATAGTCTAATTTAATTGACCCGACAGCTCGAGTTTTAGTCAGACGAACAAAAATGTGAAAAATTTTAGAGATTATACACATTTTAGGGTATGTGCTGTGTTAGTGGAATCACGCCACACGACGAGCAACAGGGTATTAAGTATTTTGTACATCATTTCACTCTCTGGAAGAGAGCTGCATATTCTGACTGGTTTCCTATTAAATATTTCTCCGCTTGTTCAGCCATAGACGCGGCGTGCAGTGCTATGGGCGGAGTGCCTGTCTACGTGAGCAGCTACAGCGCCTTCCTCCAGCTGGTCCAGGCTCTTGTCGACCAGGGTTTGTGCTCTTACTGCATTTTATGATAAATTGCAATTTTTGAAGTAAATAAATTTGAACTTATGTTATAATTTCATATAGTATTTGATGAACGTTTATGGACTGCATGAAACATGAGAAATGAGAATAGAAGTCGACGTGAGTAAAATAGTGAGCTTTCTGTTGAGTTTAGAACGACTTTACTAACAAAGCAATAATATACGTTTAAAAATTACTTTTTGAAGACAATACTTCTAAAGAATCCAGTGTCTCCAATGTTAAAGATGTACAATGAATTTCTCATTTTATTTTCGAATATTAAAAAATTCGTTTTCAATTTTTTTATATATAAACTTTTTTTCAAAATTATTTATTCTGTCAATTGATTCATGCATTGCCTCCAACTTCACACAAGTGTGCAAAATTTCAGATCAATGGGAAAGGTAAAATTGTGTCAAATATCAGTTATAAGATTTGTATCTGATAAAATTATTTTTTAAATTTTTTAATATTGGAAATTTTTTTAAATCATTTATTTATTTTGTCATTCGATTCTTGCATTGTCTCCAACTTTACGCAAGTGTGCAAAATTTCAGATCGATAGGATAAGTAGAAGTGTGTTAAATTTTGATTATAAGATTCGTAGCACACAGACAGACAGACAAACAAACAAACAAGAAGTGAAGTTAAAGAGAAGTGTTGTAAAAAAGTATAATAAGCTTGATCATGTCTACCGAACGCTGAGAATCAGCACTCTTATTAAGAGATGTATTTTTGATTGATAATTTTTAGTCATCTCGTGAAAAGAATTGCATTTCAGCCAAATAATTACATGTTTTCTCTTGATGATTTTTAATTTTATTTTTTATCAGGCACCCCGAGCGCTCAGTTGTACGTCGGAGCGCAGTGCGCGCCCGGATCCTATTGCGCCTGGAAGAAAACCTCGACTCTAATCCAAGATGCGTTCCCGGCCTCAAACAATTACTTCCCGCCTGATCAACCAAAAGTTCTCACGAGCTCGACAACTTGCCTGGTACTCAACATGGACCCCGCTGGTGCTTACTACAAGCAGCTCTCGACTGTGGAGTGCACAACAGTCGCTCTTGTGGTGTGCATGAAATAAGTACCTATAGCTGGAGCCTCATCGTTGCTACTTCTCATTAGCTTGCATATTGATTCAATTCACATTTAGACAGAGTGACTTTCAAAACTTCCATGAAATCGGGTTCCACATACTGATATTGTCGCTGAGACGACTTTTTTACACTAATATTAGTGCGACAAGGCTTTCTTAAGCCCATTTTCAACGTTAGCCGAGGCATCTTACTCTGCACTGCTATTTACCACGATTCAACAAGGAGTAAAAGAGTCTTTGACATAAAGAAGGATCACTTCATATGACCAGAAGCTATATAATATTCTGCTGCAGACATATATGGTCATTTGTTGACTTTCATCTATATTCTAATAACTTGCTTGCAGTTATACGAAACGAATAGATTTTTACACTTCTTCAGATGTGGTGGTCGATAAAACCATATTTTCACGACGTCAATGAAATAATCAAAATTACCTTTTGGCATATACATTTTGTAATTTATGTTGTAATTATTATGATTTCTACAGTGTTGTTTGGTCTACTAATTCTACCTTTGATCTAATTGTATTAACTTGAGATATTCTGCACTAATGTTCAAACGCTTATTTAGACGAGTTGAATAAATTTTGCACTCCACCTTAACTTACTTTGACCAGGAAGATCAAACTATATTAGATGAAAATAATTTCGGAGGCAGTTGCCGAAAGGCCTCGTTAGAAAGCATAAATAAGGACGCAGGCAGTAACCTCTTTAGACATATAGGTTATGGTCTCGGTTCTGAATGATAGGAAAAAGTATTTCAATCAGCTACGCGTGGTCGAATGTTTTGAAAACAAAGATACTTTTTGTTCCACCGGTGATATAAACATTGGTTATTGAAAAGACTTGATACAATTATTGTTTATTGAGGGCAAGGGGGAGGAGCCCCCGCTTACCACACAAGGCCCAACGTATGGAAGAAACTGTTTCGGGGAGGGGGGTTCTCGGCACAACGGAGGGGGGTTAACAGGCTTCTGTTTACATGTAGTGTATCCCGAGGATTACTCAAACAAATAATGCAGAAATAAAACTTAAGTAAAAGATTTCTCATTACGTGTGAATATATAACCATACTCTTCAATCTTCACGTGTAATTATGTTAATACACCGGTTCACAGAAAATTATTGCATTGTAAGAAAACTGAATAATGGTTTTAAGTCACCAATGGATTTTACTGCGATAACAAATGAAGAACCTTAATAAAACGGAAGCATCACATTGCCAAACAAAACTGTACCATTATTAAACAGAGTAAACTTGTCAACAAGTCACAGAAGGAGAAAATGTTAATGGCTGAGGCCGTTATCCGAATCCCCGACTTTGTGCCGGTAGAGTCGCTGGGCGCTGCATGGAGGGAAGCCTCGACACAGCTTGTATATTCAGTCTGTATTATATGCAGCGTGTGTAAATCCCATGAGAAATTGCATGCCATCTTGATTACTATTGATGTTTGAAGGATTTCTTTGCTAGAAAGCAGTAAACATCATCATGCAAAAGTTCAGCCAAAAAGATGTCGGCGAAATGCAGTTGACCATCCACACCTGACAGTGTTGCTGGGGAGTCTCGAAATAATTATGCAGTGAATCGATCATATGCAAAAATCCGTTAATCTTAAACTATTCATGCCTTGAAACCACAGTTTGGAAGCAGCCTATAGCTTAGATTTGGCATTACGAAGACCTTGCATAAGAATTTTGTTAAGAGATGAGCTAGCTAAAGAGTCAACGCAGCTCCCAGCGACCTAAGAACCTGATATGTGCGACACCCCCTCATGCTGACACACACACGCAGGCTGAGGTAAGGGGTTCAGCCAGTCAGCGTCTTTTATACTTTATGTCGGTAACCGTGTCTTCTATCACATTAATAACGTACTCCAAGTCTGTAACCTTGCGTTCTGTCTCATCACTTGCATACTGCCAGTCGGAAACAGTGAGTTCTGTCTCATCACTTGCATACTGTCAGTCGGAAACAGTGAATTCTGTCTCATCACTTGCATACTGCCAGTCGGAAACAGTGAGTACTGTCTCATCACTTGCATACTGCCAGTCGGAAACAGTGAGTTTTGCCACATCACTTTCATACTGCCAGTCGGAAACAGTGCGTTCTGTCACATCACTTGCATACTGCCAGTCGGAAACAGTGAGTTTTGCCACATCACTTGCATACTGCCAGTCGGAAACAGTGAGTTTTGCCACATCACTTGCATACTGCCAGTCGGAAACAGTGAGTTATGTATCATCACTTTCATACTGCTAGTCAGAAACAGTGAGTTTTGCCACATCACTTGCATACTGCCAGTCGGAAACAGTGAGTTTTGCCTCATCACTTGCATACTGCCAGTCGGAAACAGTGAGTTCTGCCTCATCACTTGCATACTGCCAGTCGGAAACAGTGAGGTTTGCCATATCATTTGCATTGATGTACGTGTGTCAGTGTTCACAACACTGGTATACTGAAAAATTTAGGCGTTAATGTGAGAAATGAAATTTATCGAATTTTCTAATGAATATTGAAGAAAACGTGGATACTAGACGCAGAATACCGACGTATTTTTGAATATGCAACTTATGGACGAGTTAAAGGGCTTATCCCATAATTATTTTACAAAAGGATCGTAATTCAAATCTTTTCTAGAATTTGTCAGAAGAACTATGCGATATCTAATGATAGAATACAGTTGGATAGGAACATATTATGCTATAAACGAATAAACAAGGTTAATTTGAAATGAGATGTAACACAAATAAGAAGTTTTGGAATAATATGGTTGCAATTAGTAAATTTTTTACAACAAATTTTCAATTGTTGATAATAACACATGGAACAATGTGGATAATACTTTAAATATTGAAGCAGTGGTTTCCATCATGGCGTTTCGTGTTGCGCTGCCTTCATGCAAGAATTCGGTACTCGGAATCCTGAACTTCCATTAGTTTTTTCACGAGACCAAATTTGAAAAATTTATTCACTGCACTGGATTACATGCTGAAACTGCTATTTAATCACCATAGGCCTACTGATATGTTCTATCAACAACACAATCGAAGTAACTAACATTCTAGTAACTGGTCTTGCATAACAAATGTTTTGTGTCTCAAGTTACACTATTTACAAGCATTTAATTAATTTCAGTTTGTGGGGTTCGCGATACATAATCGTAATTTTGTCTTTTGAAACCAATCGTGTAAGAAGTTAACAATATTCAACAACATTTAATTGCAATAAACTACATTCTATTATTTTAAGGATAGGACGACTTATATTGTCTCGTGGTCCTCATTATAACCCGTTGGCTTCGTTTGATCAAGCCCAACTATAGGTTTTGGTGTTACAAGAAACTGTCATTTTCGCTCAGGTTCAAGTATGCAACATACTTTTACATGTATTACGACAGCGACACGGTCAACACAACTTCAGGCTGAACCCCTCATCCTTTTAATTTTATAAAGATAAAATACAAGTTAATTAAGTATATGGATCACTCTTAGGTATTGGAGACAATCACGTACAAAACACTAGCAACGTCACCCTCATATTTATTTGACTAAACGTTAATACAACACTCACTTTAATTAACGTAACACACCGAGTCCGGTTATTGCACTCACATTAACCGAGCACTGCAACAAAAAACGATTTTTCAAAAATTTAGATATCTTTATTGAAAGGAAAAATCAAGCAATCAGGCTAAAATGTAGCAATTGATAGAACGTACGATTATCACTTTACTACATATAGTTTTAACGAGGTACACGCCTTATGACTTTGCTAACATAACCGAAATAGGCCGTTATCGACTTGAAAAAGCGTTGTTCAGGCTTAAATAGAAATAATTATTTAAATAAATTACGTGATCTTGAGATCGTTAAGCTATAAGGAAAGAACATGAGTGGCTCTAACTACGTCATTTAGCCTCTCACCTTCTCTTTCATTCAAAAAATGTCAACATGTTAACTAGTTATGTCTTCACAATTCTGCTTAATTTTACATAGATCTACACTTAGTATAAACACAATTAAAAACATTCAGACTTCATAACGTCTCACAATTCGAGATGAATAACACCCACCCTCCCACACCAATGAACTGGAATAAAAGAGTCCAGCGGGTGACTTCTGAACTGCTGTCCAGATCTCATCCTCACGACGAGCCAGGCAGCGCTTCAGTTAACTGCTGTCCAGATCTCAGCCTGACGACGAGCCAGGCAGCGCTTCAGTTAACTGCTGTCCAGATCTCAGCCTGACGACGAGCCAGGCAGCGCTTCAGTTAACTGCTGTCCAGATCTCAGCCTGACGACGAGCCAGGCAGCGCTTCAGTTAACTGCTGTCCAGATCTCAGCCTGACGACGAGCCAGGCAGCGCTTCAGTTAACTGCTGTCCAGATCTCAGCCTGACGACGAGCCAGGCAGCGCTTCAGTTAACTGCTGTCCAGATCTCAGCCTCACGACGAGCCACGCAGCGCTTCAGTTAACTGCTGTCCAGATCTCATCCTCACGACGAGCCACGCAGCGCTTCAATTAACTGCAGTCCAGATCTCCTAGATGGCAGTCCAGCGTGGATGCAGTACTTGGCATGATCAACATGCCCATTATTTTCTACGCGAACATACTAATAATCAACATTTTTCATAACCACTTCTGTGAAGAACCCTAAGTTTGGCTGCTTCAAAATTAAGCGAACATTTGTTCACCTCCTCAAAGTGTAATGAAAGCATTTAAGACGCTGTTTGTCGATGCACTGATGAGCTCATGATAGTTTACTCACACTTTATTTATGCGCAGCCTTGCACAACTGACTCCTAATTCGGCATCAGCCACGGCTTAACAGTTCTACAAATGGCTCGTAGGTCGACAAAAATGTTGTCATAAACTCAGAACTTTTATCTGAATGCATTTTGCAATTAGAAGTTTTTGACGAGATTTGAAGTACGAATAATTGAAGAGATATCAATTGTGATAGAGCAGGTATAAAATGTAGAAAATTTAACAATTTTAACGGCCACAGCAATGTTCATTTCTGATGACCAGGGAGATGAAAATATTTTGTAAAATGCATGCAGAAGTAGATTTCGAAATTATTACGAATCTTACTTACTTACGAATCTTACTAGTTTTCACTACACATGGAGTTCCGTCATTATGTGCAATCAGAATGTGAAAGTGAATTTGATTCAATTCATTTCGATTGAATCTTCAAGTTCCACGATAAGTCAAGTTCCTGCCAAAGAAGAAAGCGGCGATATCTTCCAAATCAAATTAAATCTGCACAGCGTTCCGTCCAATATCCAGTTTAGAGAGACAGGGACAATACAGTCCTAATTAGTAACAATACTCGGCCGTTTCTTTTCTCGTGTTACAGCAGGCGCCTGCCCTCATGTGCGAAGTCCGTCGTCTCGAAGCCTCACTTATAATACAACCATTGAAATATTAACCATTCATTTTTGAATTAGTGGCCAAACAAGTTTTCTGCATGATATTTGGAAAATGCAATATAAAATCAGGGGTGGGCGGAAGCATATTTTCGGTTGGTCAAAGGATTGTTTCACTCGCGATAAAATTGAATGTAGATTTGCACCTGCCAAAAATTGAACAAATGCTTTTTGAATTATTGCGGGGAATTTTTTACTTTTGTGAATAAATGTCACATCAATCATTATACAGCCATACACGGCTGTATAATGATAACATAAACAGACATAAATTCTGAAAGAATATCACGTTTTTCTCTCTCAGACCACCGATCAAGCTGATCCGCTGGATGAGTTCAACGCAACGTGGATGATGAATGTAAATTATGATCAAATAATGATGAATTTGATGATGATGTATAAGCTATTAAGTAGCTTTCTGTCACCTCCTCTGGAAGTAACATTCTACAAATATTCCAAGAAAGATCTAATGGTTGCTTTCGTCAACGGAGTACCTCAAAATATGTATTTACAATACAAAATAGCGGTTGAAGCGCCAACTACCAAGTCACAGGTAGCAAAATACTGGCTTAGAAACCCAAAAATGTGACTTTACCAACTCTGTAAGTAAATTTATCTCTGTTGACATCGATCAATTCAAACAATACCCAGGGTGAAATGAAGAATTTTATCCCTACATGATTTTAATAAAATCTTAAGTATTAAGAATTCTAGCTTCGCTGGACGTTAGACTCTTCCACTTTAAAGGATTCTTCGCCGTGCTACCTGTGTTGGTAGTTGCTGTTAGCAACCTCAAAAGACAGTCGGAAAATGTCACACTTGGCACATCTAGATAAATAAGTATCATACGAAGTACTTTGGAGAGAAACTACTCATACCTTTTATATCATTCCTTCTATTGCTTGGTACAAAGAGTAACGAAATATTACACGGATTTGACACATGTAAAAGACGCCGAGTACAGGCTAATTAACTAAGGCATATCAGATAGACAAGTTATAATATGCAATTGATTTAGGCGTTAGAGAACCGCGAAAAATGTAGTAGAATTAGAAAGTAATTATTTTAAGAAGTTCGACTAGAACATGAACTTGGTAAGTAAAGGATATGTTGTATTGAGGAATGAACTATCTCAAGTTCAGGGAATGGAAAGGAGTTTTTAGTCGTCAGGGGCTAAATTAAATGATTTTAAACGGTTAAATCTTTCAAAAACCTGAGAGGTTGTTTGGGAATTTAAGAAAGGCTGATTAGATACAAAATGGACTCCTCATCACGTTCTAAATTTAAACGATTTTTTCTTAAAAAATCTTACAAGTCACCTTCTCACCACTGCAACTATTCTTTAGCACCTCATGTTAGTTTATTGACGCAGCGAATCTGCGCTTGAAATTCCTTTATCCATTACGTTGGCAGCAATGGCTAACTTGGCTTTACAGAATTAACATTTTCATTTCTTGTCCAGTTCATTTACAATTCAGATGTGGAAACGCTTCTTTCCTGCCTCTATTCTCAAAAGGAAGGAGACATTTTCTGTGAAAAATGTCATTTTACACGTGCATTCTGTACCGCGGTCGCGAGAGATTCCCTTCAGTTGTATAACTGTGTATGCGATCACAATGAATATACTTGCTCATAGTTTCTAAAACATCAATAATTTCAGCGAATATAGAAAGAAATTAATTAAACAATTACTTCTGTTAATTATACCTCATGAGGAAGAATATATCAAGGAGCGCACTAGAACAGCTGCAGGCATATTGTGTTCGGTGATGTCAACAAGAAGCGACAGAGCTTGCTAAAATACCACAATAAATTTGATCATTCAGAAAGAAAAAATGGCAACTTTGCCGCGAAACTTTAATTTATTTATTGTCTTTGAGAAACTGCAAATTTCTCAGTATATGGAAAGAATTCACGAGCTCCGTATGAACTAGAAGCTGACATGGAGTCGAAACAGGTGTAAATTAACACATTCAGTCTACGAACAAAACAGTCAACTATGCATTAACAATCCATATAAATGTGGTATTAACAACACAGAAAAACACATTTTAATACAGTATTTAGGACTACGGCTGCCTGGAACTCTCTTAATATTCATCAACAGCTAGCAACAAGTTGAACTCGCAACCAAGGAGGACATGTAATTGAGACGATTCATCCCTCACATCTAGAATTATGAACACCTTCAGTCAGAAGCTAAAGTGTGCTCTAATATTTTCTTACGAAATGATAATCATTATTCAATCTAAACTATACCAAACACAGTCGCCACCTCCTGCTAACTACTTGTAGGTCATGAAGCGGCTTGAAACAGCCGTCACGTTTGGTCACAATGTTTGTCTAGATGACTTCCCTTTACGCTTAACGCAAAGAATCGTTCTGTAGAATTTGTTTCCAGTAATACAATTAGAAGTAAAAGTCACAAATTTCTTGTTAAATTCCACTTTGAAATAATTTTCAGTTTTGAGATGGTTCAAAATCCATGTTCAAATAGAACTGAAATCTTTGTCATGTGCAAAGCATGATCGCCCGCAATGAGAGTTGTTCAAAAAAGCATCACAATAAATCGAGGACTTCTTCTGGTTGAAATTTATCCACGAAAATGATTATAAATCTAATGCTAGGCTTGGTTAGATTAAATGTCCATAGGTAAATCATCAGCGTTGACTCCAGGACGCGAGCAGCAGCGCTACGGTGACCGCGACGAGGCTGGCGCCGTGGCTGCACCCTGCGCAGATCTCGATCCTCTCCTCCTGTAGTGGCAGAACAAGCGTTATGTGCGTGCTGGAAATACATGATACATGTAGTCATGATAATAACAAAAAAAAATAATGATAATATTAATAATAATAATAATAATAACAATATTAATAATAATGATAATAATAATAATAATAATAATAATAATCACAATAATAATAATAACATCAACATAAACAATAATAATGCAAATAATGATAAAATAATTATAATATAACATACATTTCATTTCATTTGCCCATCCAAATGATTAATTGAATATATTGAATATTCTTCAGAATTTAATCAAGTTAGCGGTAAAACTTCGACAGAGAAGTTTTCACTTCACGGGTGGTTTGGAGGCGTCGTAAATATCAGTTCTTTTTTATTATGCCTAGATTGATGAGAAGGTTTGATAATTTTCAGTAGTTTTATTAACAAAAATTTTCAAAAAGAGGCACAGAATTTCTTTGGAAGCGGTAAGTTTGAAATAAATAATTGTAATCTGATTACACGAACCATAGATACTCAATACCACTCAGGTAACACGCGTTAATAAAATGGAAAAATATCAGGGCTTAAAAAATAATTGCCAGTGCATACGATAGCATTTGAATGTAATAAAAGAAAACATTATTAATGCCATATCAGGTGAATATTGATATTAAAGGTTTTCAGGCAAAGATGAGAACAAGAAAAATTTGAGCTGCAAGGTTTTTAGCGCATTTTCTCATTCATGAAAAAAGCGCTATTGTGATAGTCATGTCCGTCCGTCCGTCTGTCTGTCCGTCTGTCCGTTACTTCACGTTTTCGTCGACGAGAAAATGCGCTCTCTGTCACTCACTGCAGTGAGTACTGAGTTATATATTTACCATTGCATGTTTCTTGTTTTACTTCGCAAAAGCCCTTAATTCATTATGAATGAGTAGAATTCAAATTTACAACGCACGCGGCGTTGTAAATCATTCCTTTTCCCCGACGATGGAAGAGGAATACCGAAGAAAAAGTCACGGCAGCCGATGAATTAGATAATTAGTGAAATTACTTTTAAGTTATTAATTAGTTAGTTAATTAGTAATGGTTTGACAAAACGCGACGCTTTGGTCAAAGCTGCAGATAAAATTCTACTAGGGGTGTCTTATGAAGTTTAAATACTCCGGGGAAAACATTTGTAAATTTTTAAAAAAGATAAGTTTTCAGTTAAGTTTGTGAACCGTTAATAATTCGCTACATTAAAGGAACACTAAAACCATTACCGGAATTTCATCAGGAGGGGTTGGAACGACTTCGAAATCCTTCGGCCATTCCTGCGTCAGGTGTGAAATTATGCAATAAAAGGCATCTAATTTTTTCAGTAAAGAAATATATGAAGGCTGCTAACCGATGAGGGAAAGACGAAAAACCTGAAAGCTATTGCATGCATCTATATAGAACTCGCAAAACAGAGGAAGGAGGAAGAAAAATAAAAAATGTCTTGAGAACGGAAAAAATAGTAGATAATTGAACTTTCACGGCCATCATTTGACATCAGAAAAATGAGAATCGATTAATCCATACAAATTGGTTCACTATAGGTAAGATCCAAACGAATTAATTACGTATATAAGTTCGGATATATGATTATGAGTGATGCACGAAAGTCTCAGAGGTTCACTATCACAAATATTCATGAAATACTGCCGCTCAAAATATTCACTCATTATAAATAAAATTTAAGCAGTTCAATTTATGTTTCTTTTTCCAATGAAACTGAAATATGTAAAGAATCACGTGGTATTAATTGTTTTCAAATTGATTCATGATAAATTGCAAAATAAGAGAAATCTACCATTCTTTTGATAAGGGATCGATGGGACGGAACGAAAACTACTCAATTGTGGCCTGATAAAACTTCTTTCCGTTTAATAATTAAAGCTCAACGTTGAAATGTCAACAACGTCTCCAGTCTTTTATGGAATCCCTACATGACTTTACAATATCCTTGCTATCCCATGCATATGAAATATTAGTCTAGAGTCGTAGGATAACGATAATGCTCTTTCTATGATTTAATTAATTCAAATTTTTTAAGCTTTATTGAAAAATTTGAATGACGGTTACCAGATATTACAAAATTTTGAACCGTCAGCTGTTAACGTTATCGCGATGAGGAAATGATGGGTAATGGTGAAACCAGGAATAATATACCATGCATGAAGCTAGTGAAAAAAATTCCTACTCAGTCCAAGAAATGCTCGGGGATAAAATTCCGATGAAATCCCATGACAGGACTGCGTCATCTATATTTTTTTAAAGGGCATTCAGGATAAGGAGCGGTAAACGTAACGAGGAGAGAAACTGTTTTAACTAGGAATCCTGTACGTACTAAAATATTAGTTCATTCATATATGAATGAAAAAGCTGAAAATTTTTTTAGCCCGTGCTGGTCGAAAAGATGATCAAGAAAATAATTATAAATTGGTGGATATAAAGGAACATTCACTGATCTTTTTCTAATGGGTAGGTAGCAAACATTCTCTTAGTTGTCTAATTAATTGGAAAATTAAGTGGACAAACTTCCGCTTCAGGAAAAGGTTGACGAACGCTAGTTTGACAAAAATCGATCGTCAAACTGTACTAGCTCTACTCAAAATGTTCAATCTTTGTACCAGCCTTTAGGTTTATATTACCATCACTTATTCACTGCGGGTGCCATGCGAAGTGTCAGTCACGGATTATTAACTGGTATACAAAAGAATAACTTTGGAGATCTGTAATTGATAAACATTATCATTGGTTGCTAATAGCTTTTCATGTAAACTCACGTCAGGATGATAGTTGATGCACTTCTCAGGTCGTTTCCTGTATTTATTGCTGAGCAGGTGACCACACAGCGTCTCCTCTGTGTAGATCACCTCAGTGGGCTCGATGTCCACGCGTTGACTGTCGCACGGACAAGTGTTGTCCACCACGATCAGCACCAGGTTCGTCTTCATGATTTTTTGTACACTGAAAGGCCTACGAAGAGATTGGAATTTAGTAAATAAAAGGTTATAACATTTGCTGATGCTCCAAGTATTGAGAATGATGAACACATTGCTGATGAAGTAGATGATGCAGAAATATAAGATTAAAAAATAAAATAAACACATTTTACAACAAGGTAGTGTAAAAATAGTCTCTTGTGACCAGAAATAATGCGGCAAAAAAATGAGGAGTGCATTTATCAATATTATTGTCGCAGATGTTCAAATTTCCCAGTATTGGACTTATAAAAGATTTATTCAATGTATTGTCAGATAATTTCTAATAAATCGTAGAAGAATCTTTTAGCCCAAGCCTCAGCTAGGATCAAGTCCTCTTCGCAGACGATTTTTCTGCCAATGGCAATTTGCAAATGTAAAACACAGGAATAAAAGTGAGATAATTTTTTCGGCTGAAATTTAGCTTCTACTCCACGATTTGTCATGAGAAACACATTTCATGTGTGTAGTTTGCATTTAGGTCACTTTACATTAGTTATTATTTCTCCATCAGCAATTTATTTTTTGGTTAGAACTTGGTTAGATTGCTATTTCGCTTCATACTGTCTAAAGATCCATTTGAAAATAGATTGAAATAACAATAAATGCAGGAATATTGAAGGAGCGATTGAATGAGGAAAATGTAAAAGAAGTTTTATCTGGAAAGCAATGAAAACCTGTTACCTGTTTCATAATTTTGTCGTTCATACCATAGCCATGATTATTGATGAGCAAGACTCGTGACGATCGGTAATACAAGGATGGAAAATGTTTGATCACATCAAAATACAATCGCTGCTTGGTTTCTTAAACAGTTTTCTCCTCTTCTGTAATTACTGCAGGCACACGGTCTGTTCTTCCACTTGCCACCGACACCCACTGGTGCTGCCACATTACCTGCCACAGCTCTTCCACTTGCCACCGACCCCCCAGAGGTGCTGCCACATTACCTGCCACAGCTCTTCCACTTGCCACCGACACCCACAGGTGCTGCCACATTACCTGCCACAGCTCTTCCACTTGCCACCGACACCCACAGGTGCTGCCACATTACCTGCCACAGCTCTTACACTTGCCACCGACACCCTCATAGGTGCTGCCACATTACCTGTCACAGCTCTTCCACTTGCCACCGACACCCTCATAGGTGCTGCCACATTACCTGCCACAGCCGTGTGAGTGGCAGTTGGAGAGTTTCCCTTTGACGGCAGAGAAGCGGCCGCTGGGGTCCTTCAGTTTCTCCATGTTCAGGTTGTAGAGATAAACTTCTTTATCGCAGGGACGGGGCCTGGTCTTGTTGATGTAGGCGAGCTGTGAAAAGAAATGAATTTCTTAGTGAACGACAATATATTTTATATATATTTTATAATGAATCTAAACTGTAGTTAAGGAAACTAAACTTATTGTTTTATTTTGACGAGTGCTGCATAGGAGTTTGTTACTAAAATAATAGATAATGATATGTTTTTTAATAAATAATTTATTATTTACTACTGTAAAAAATTTATAAATTTGCAAAAGTTCCACAACCATGGATGTGATCGATTTTCAATCGAGATTTAATTGCTATCCTCGTTTCATGAAGAACCTCCATTTTTTAAATAAAAAATGCCAGTAATGTGTAGTAAAGAAAGCCGAGAAACCTTGTGATTAAAAATGTTCACAATCGATGAAATTACAATATTGGATTGGTCAAATAAATGAAGAAAAATGTCTTTATTTGGATCTGAATAATCGAAAATCGCCCCACCTCGAGCTGAGGGAAGCCCTCGCCTTCAGTCTGTGGAACGTCTTCCATATCTGCAAATAAATTTATTTGATTTAATAGTCCTCAATTTCATCATGATACATCATACGAATATTGGTAGTTTTGGTGTGAATAGCAAGATAATGAAGATCACTGAATATTGCTTGAGTCACCCATGTGAAAAAATAGACCGATTAGCGACAGAAATAAGTCGAAATTTTATAACGGAAGAATCTAAAACGATTCTAGTTCTGCAGAAAACTATTCCATGAAGTGGCGAGTAAATGCTTGTGTAACTTTGATTCGCATTATAAATCAACAATCCTATTTAGCAAAAATATAGATAAAGTATGATGGTCGTAATGATTTGAAATTGAAGTAAAAGATAATAGCTTCAATAGTTTGCTTAAATATTACCAATCTCACTAAAATGAGATCACTGGAAATTGAAAAAAAAGAGTATAACAACATGTAAAATTATAGACTAGCTTAAATATTTATGTTCCAATATATGGCACGCTGAGAAACGGGTTAGTGTGTTAGATTATAAGCCAAAATTATTAGTGGCTTAGAAGACATATTCAGTAGACTCGAAGAATTTGCAACAATTTCATTTCATCATAATTTGAAGCAGAGTGTACAGACACAAGAATCATAACAACGCTCTTTTCTTATATTACAGAAACCCCAGAAAAAACTAGTTAAATGAAAGAAAAGTGGAATCCATTTTCATTGAAGTTTTACGAGAGGCGAGCTCGTCAAATTTCCGAACACTGCTGGTGCTCAAAATTTTCATTAACCATTGGCACCATTCAAATTTTTTTTTCCAATTGAGAAATGAAACAAAAGCATACACTTTAGATGAAATCATCGACATAAAGCTCTTTAAACTTTATCGTAATTCAGTTGCTTTACACGGCGACCGGCTTAGTGTTAATCATCAACTCATCAGAACGATGACGTACAGTTATTATATCACAGGAACGCAGCCATCAGCTATCTGAAATTGTACATTGTACAACCCATTCTTTGCACACTGAATGCAATTTTTTCTAATAGCAGTGTTAGTAAACTAAAGCTAATCGTAAAACGTCTGCAGAGTCGAGCCAATTTTCTGTTAATGTTTTCATCAAACTTCCACTCGATTAAATTTGAACTCCTTTAATTTCAATGGAACTTGAGGTTTTAGTTTTCGATCAGTCGCACGCCAAGCAATAAAACTCGTCACCGTCGTAGTCTTCGACGGTGAACTCTTCTTCGTGGTACTCGTGTCCATCGTTGCTGGCGTCGGTGGCCAGAAGGTCGTCGTAGTCGACGGCTTGCTGAGCGATCTTCTCGCGTTCGGTTAGGTTGTAGAAGTTCTCGGCCGTGTCTGGGTAGTGGGGCGGAGCAAACTCGATCAAAATGTCCGAGGTTTGAACGGCTCTTTGAAGCGCGTGAAGAAATTATAGTCTTTTTATTGCAATAAAATTTTCAAAGTGAAATGGTCGAAATAAAATCAAACGTAACAATAATGATGGAAATCGTGTCAATGGTCAGTGTGTAAGAAAAAGCTCTAGGGAAAAAATGGTCACGGTATGCTTACTCGCGAAACAGTCAGTCAGTCGAACTAAAGAGGACAAAATATTCTGCATACATAAAGAATTAGAGTAAACGAAGGAAAAAGATTCAGGAAACGGTCTTGAAATAGTATCCCAGTCTCTTGCGTTCCCCTTTCGGAACAACCGAAAAAATTCATCGGTAATTATCAAGACAATGGATCATGATTCCGCGTGTAATTCACTAATATGGAAGAGGATATTGTGTTGTCTTCGTGGATGTAAGCACACAACACTCTTATCTACTTAGGAGCGAGTCCTCTGCAGCGTTGGTCTCCCCGTCGACATCGAGGGGCTCTTCGACGTCGTCACTCGGAACTATTGCGACGACGGTCTCAGCTTCACGTCGTCGACGACTCGGGATTCGATCTTCAAGGTAAATACGTCGTGGATGAATTAGTTCAGGAATTTAATGTACTGTACCACAAGAGCTTCTGGTTGCTGCGAAAGATGCATTTTTGGACTAAACCGTTGATGTGCTAGAAAAGATTATGATTAGGGTCTGGCGTCTGGCTTCTTCAAAGAAATGAATTCTAGCCCGGGCTCATCAGCAACGATTAACATTTGTTCTTCTACCATCTACTAAAGAAATCTGATATAGAAACAAATTCAGAACATCTTGAAGTAACGCAAAAAATGAATGAATTTAAAGTGAGAATTGTGAGTGCAGAATACCACTTAAAAAATTAAAATGGATTAAAATAAGTTTAAAACATTTTAAACGACATAACTTCAATGATACCTAAAACGAATTATAATATTAGTAAAGGAATAATCCTGAATCAATTAGAAGCACCCGACCAATGCATTTAAATTGCAGTATTACCCACTAGACCCGAATTAATTGTGAAAAAATGATCATTCTCAATTAAATTAATGCTTTACTACATAATTTTTCAAGCTCGTTTTCACTCACCAGGAGCCACGACGGTGCCACCATGGACATCATACTCCGGCACGCCCTCTGTAGCGAAGGGCAACTGCGTGTCGTACTCTAGAGTGTCGGGATAATTATTATTGTTCGAATTATCGCTGTTTGCAAAGGACCGACCACGAGTTCCCCCCGATGCCTTGTAACCGTAAGTGTCGCGCCCCACTTGGCCCAGGTTGTCGTATTCCCCTTGAGCGAACGATCGCTGATTACCGCTGCCTTTTGGAACGAAAGATTGGCTGTTGCGATCAGGACTCTGACGACCAGTTCCGATGCCGTCTTGCGCCCCAAACGCTTGTCTGTTTCTGTAACGGTCCTCGGAGTAGGTACGATGCTGGTATAAAGAACCTTCTGGTCTGAAAGAAGGCTCTCGTAATGGATCAATATACGCATAAGGATTCTGATTCGCTTCGTGCAAATAAGCCCAAGCTTCATTAGAGTCCCAGAGCTGGTAGAGTTGCGTCTGTACCAGCAACCAGATGATGTTCGTGGCGAGCCATCGCACTGTCCAGTTGATCACTTGCACAGGCTGGTGGTAGGCACAGAATGGGATTAATACTTAAGCCCTTACGCAGCAAAAATAATATATTATAATCCTTTTATAAGTCCTACTTCTTTAATGAATCCTAAATCTCGCTGACGAACAGAAAATGAACTTTGTTGATACAAAAATAAATGTTGTATTAAATAAAATATGACTCGGAATCTCAGTTACAAATATCTAATTGTGAATGAAGAGTGGAAAGTGAAACTTAAGATTTGAGATTCATTTCAAGTCCCGCCAAGAGGTCCATCCAATCACTACGGCCAGTGAAAATAAAATGATGGTTCATATGTATCGAAGCCTTAATTCTCAGGTAATTAATTCGTAATGAAATTATTGGGTAATCGGATAAGATATCATAAAAGAATGGGGCATGGAATATTTAACTAGCAGTAGATAAAGTGGTATTCACCGTGAGTAGAGTACTGCAGTAGATAAAGTGGTACTCACCGTGAGTAGAGTACTGCAGTAGATAAAGTGGTACTCACCGTGAGTAGAGTACTACAGTACCACTAATGTGGTACTCACCGTGAGTAGTATGCTAGCTACGCTGCCCTCTTTGACATTCTCGAGGCACACTGCTTGGTAGTCGTAGATCTTCACCTTGTTGTACACCTCGGACATCACCAGCGAGTTCATAATTGTACCCTCGATCTCACCGAAGAATCTGTTATATAAACAGCGGATTGAAAATTCATATATCAATTATTTGATTAAATCTCAGGTTCATCGCGAATTTAAAACAAAAGAAAACGCCAAGTAAATTCCATCATTTATTCTTCGAGAATATTTTCGATGAAGAGATCGAGAATTTACTTGACATTTCTTTCCTCTTAAATTCTTATTGGAAGTTCATTATAGTATTTTCGATATTGTCGAAGAATCCGACGAACTGAAACTGATTGCGGGATCACCTAAACCATCAAGCTGCATTAGCATCGTCATTTTTTCCTATAAAAGATCATTTCAAGCAACATGTTTTGGATCAACATCCTACAGAGATAATAAACGCATTCTCCGAAACTAGCAAACATAAGAAGCTTTGGCTATTGATTACACAATTTTGCCGCAATAATCATCGAGTTGCTGATCTACTAACCTGCCGGTGTTCTCGTCCTTCTCAGAGGCGACGATGAAGCCTGAGTCGTCGAGCAGGTAGCAGTCCAGGTCGGGCCGCTTGCACAGCTTGCTCTCCTTGCATGAAGCACTTGTGCACTGTGATGTAATGTACAAATATATTGTTAATTTATATCAGATGGCAGAATTTACTTGTTTACACAAGTGCAATCGATGACCAGAGAATTCGTTGATTTATATTATCAAAAAAATCAAGAAAAGTTCCACCCACTGATAATATAAATCAACGAATTCTCTGGTCATCGATCGCACGTGTGTAAATATATGTATTGTTAATCTATACAAACGAAGGATTCTACTCTTCGTCATTTAAAATAATGTTATTCTATGACAGGGGGGACTCTACGTTATTCAAGTACACTGTTATGCTGTTACATAAATATAGAATTTATGTTATAGAATAATATTCTTTGTTATAAAATATAATTAAATGATTTACTGAGACAAAGGCAATGACAAATTGTGATAGGTTTTTAACGATGCTTTCATTAATGACGTTGTATTTATGTATAATTGGCCTTTCATTTATGGATGGAATTCAATATATCGATGACAATGCACAAAATTTAAAGCACATGTTTACATTTAAAAAGCTGTGCAAAATCGCAAATAACACAACTTCTCACGCAGCTTCCGTTGCACATATGTTATCAAATTAATCGAACTGGACATGTTGAATTACATATTTTCTACATGAATTAAATAACCGACATATGTATATAATTTAAGAACATATAAATTAAGCTACCTTCTTGGTACCGTTGATGAAGTGGTCGATGAACTTAGCGAGCGTGATGGTGACTCCCACTACGGCCACGGGTGCCTTGTAGAGGCCCTCCTCACCCACGTAGATGGCGCGGGTGACCGTCATCAGAACCTCGCTCAGGTTGCGCGCTCCTGCATACGACAAATTACAATTATGGAGATGCTTATACATAATGTAAAATATATAATATATATTATAATAATATATACTTTGATTTTTGAAAAATTTTTATTTAGCAAAAGTTTTTTTATTGAAGCTGATTTTTTTGGGCAATTTCTTTGTTTTGAAATATGCTTTATAGCGCATGCAAGATGGTCTATAGTGTTAGTTGCTTTTGTTTAAGGAGCTGTTTTTTTTTATTTTCTGAGTTTCTTTAGAAATTAAAACTGCATTCATTGAAGGAGATTCTAGTATTTTTGAAGCTGCTTCTCTCTCATAAATACTGACCAATGAAGTGAATTTATTGAAATTAAGGTTGAAATATCCGTTCAATTCCAGCGTTGCTAGAATGGTGGGTTGTCTGTGACAGGAAGCAGGTTTATCAGACACCCTGCAGGTCAACCGGTGCTTAAAATTAACCAAGCAATAGGTGGTTAATTTATATTCTACTGCTATGCGGTTATTAATTTTAAAGAAGAACCTGCCAATATTTTTGCATATTCAAATGTTTTTATTTGCATGTTTTATTGAGGCTTGGCGGAGGTTATTTTAACGAGCATTGACGATATCTTTGTGCCGACCTCGACCTCAAATTTCGTGAAATCATGTAACATTGCAAAAAAGATTATATTATAACATTTAATTTTATATAAATTGGGAGTGTAAGTTCACATTTAATAAATATGAAAATTTATTCAAAGTTTGCAAGAATCCTTTTGAAAGAGTTACTCTGTACTGAAATTAATTTGAAGCAAATATTACAAATTTCACCCAATTAGAGATAGTGCAAAGTACTGGTACATCTGGTGGGTCATTTCGACCTACCTGCGTCGAATGGTACCGCGTACACGTACGCCTCGGGGTCCTTCTCGAAGTAGTCAACCGCGCGCCGGTACCACACCTCGTCGATGGCTCGGTTGTTCTCCTCCAAGAAGTGCCTGTAACTTCATTTAATTACACACGTATTCATCGTTTTATTATTCATAGATTCTGCGTTTAGAGTGAAGGTTTGAAATTATGTATTGCAGTATTGGGAGCATATGTAGCAATCAACTGTGCAAAGTTCCACTGTGAATTCCTTTATTGAAAAGAGTGAAAAAGAAGGATAATGGATTGTGAGATACCATGCATAAATAAGTGGAATTCCACTATGGATCCAGCCTTCATCGCTGCCTGGCTATATAGTTAACACAGCTTTATGACGACTTGACTTACGATCTGTAGATATATTTTTTCATTTGCCTAGACTCACTGTCTACAAATGAACTCGGGGTTTCCCGTATATTTTTTCTATGCAACCAAATTGAGGTTAGAGTGGTTATTGAAAAACGTTATTAGGTTCCTGATTTTACTGCTACGCTTTGGGCCATTGATAATTTTCCTTCAAAAAATTCTACGGCGTCAAATACAACCTGACGTGCGCTTGTGTTATCCACAGTTGATCGTTCTGTGTGGCACCAGGCGTATCACTTTACTATATTCGCCACACTCATTATATTCACTCTATTCGCCACACTCATTATATTCACTCTATTTGCCACACTCATTATATTCACTATATTCGCCACACTCATTATATTCACTATATTCGCCACACTCACTATATTCACTATATTCGCCACACTCATTATATTCACTCTATTCGATACACTCATTATATTCACTATATTCGCCACACTCACTATATTCACTTTATTAACCACACTCATTATATTCACTATATTCACCACACTCATTATATTCACTATATTCACCACACTCATCATATTCACGATATTCACCATACTCATTATATTCACTATATTCACCACACCCATTATACTCACTATATTCACCGCATCCATTATACTCACTATATTCACCACACTCACTCTTTTCGCCACATTCAGTATATTGACCGCACTCATTGTACTCACTATTTTAAGGCTATTCACTATATTCACCGCACTCATTGTACTAACTATTTCAAGGCTATTCACTATATTCACCGCACATCTAGATGTGTATAAGAGACAGACTATATTCACCGCATCCATTATACTCACTATATTCACCACACTCACTCTTTTCGCCACATTCAGTATATTGACCGCACTCATTGTACCTGTCTCTTATACACATCTAGATGTGTATAAGAGACAGTTTCAAGGCTATTCACTATATTCACCGCACTCATTGTACTAACTATTTCAAGGCTATTCACTATATTCACCGCACTCATTGTACTCACTATTTCAAGGCTATTCACTATATTCACCGCACTCATTGTACTCACTATTTCAAGGCTATTCACTATATTCATGACTCACGGTCCATCAGTCTGGGGAGCGTCAGGCGTGTCCTGCCACCGCGTAAGGCCGCTGCGGGTGGCCACGAAGGCGGTGCGGATTCCGGTGCTGTTGTAATAGTCCTGGCTGCATGGCGGGAGCACGATGGGGGTTAGGGTAATTTATTGGCAAGCTTTATAATAAATTAAATAATTATTAGCTGTAATGGGATGCAATAGGACTAGCAACACGGGCTAGGGTCATACAAAAGTGAAAAGCATTCATTTAAGGCATTGGGATGAATGAATATTAAAATAGAATAAATGTAAAATTAAAATAAATGGAAAATAAATGGAATTGATATATAAAATAATTATCAGCTATAATGGGATGCAATAGGACTAACGACACGGGCTAGGGTCATACAAAAGTGAAAAGCATTCATTTAAGGCATTGGGATGAATGAATATTAAAATGGAATGAATATAAAATTAAAGTAAATGGAAAATAAATGGAATTGATATATAAAATAATTATTAGCTGTAATGGGATGCAATAGGACTAGCGACATGGGCTAGGGTCATACAAAAGTGAAAAGCATTCATTTAAGGCAGTGGGATGAATGAATATTAAAATGGAATGAATATAAAATTAAAGTAAATGGAAAATAAATGGAAATATTTGACGCAGTGTTTCACTGTAAGCCTTATTCAATTCATAAATAACCATATACGACGGAATAAAGTAATGCATTGAGATAATGACATGCGATGATAAGAAATCATATACCTACTAGAGATATTTTAATACATGCAAGAAAGATCATTTAAATCCTCAATTTAGTGCTAAATATATTTTTTTGCTCAAATGCACATGAAGTATGTGCACATAAGGAGCCATGCACAACACAAAAAATGAATGTTTAATATTTTCAATGGAATGCATTGTTGCACAGGAACCACTGAATAATTGCGAAGCTTTTCTACAAGATTTTTGAGAAGTATAGGTTCAAGCTTTACCGCCCTCATACAACTAAAACCTTGAGTTCTTCAAATGAAAATATTGAGAGATACAGTCGGGAGTTTGAGCCAGGAATTAATTATTCATTAATTATTGAAATCAGCAGAATAGAGATACTATGAATTTTTCAGCGTTATTTCATGAATAATCCGTCGATGATAAATCAATATTCAAGCGTTGTGGAGAACGAAGATCAATGACAAAATTATTTTTACACGAATAAACATGAGTGAGAAAAGCTTGACCTAGATATCTGAGAGACAATTTTTTGGAATAATAAAGGGATTAACGTTAGGTCAATTGTGCTCAGCCCCGCATTAATAAAAAAAATATTATCAAAAATTATCTACTATAGTGTGGCATATTAGGCTGCCGTTAAGAACTGTACGCAGCATTTAAACTAAGCTTCTCTTTAAAAATTAAATTAAATTAATTTTCTCTCAGCAACTGATTATATGTTTAGCTGCTGAATGTGCTGAATAGTAAGCTACGCATGTGAGGAAGAGTAGAGTTGCTACTGACGTAAAAGGTTACACATTTCTTAAAGTAAAGAAGAAAAAAAAAGAATCTTCGAAAAAACGAGCACAAACACTCAAAATGAATATCAGTGGAGAGGAGCAGTAAAACGGGGACCGAAGTTCATGAAGGACTCATGAAATTACTTGATCCTCGCTGCATCGTAGAGACCATGTGCTCCAGCAGATGTTGTTTAAATCTTAGACTTTCATGTGAAGATTTAATGAAGGGAAAAACTCGTCATGATCAAAAGTTCAAAAGGTTAACGACGTAGAACAGGAATATTTAAACGCTAATATATATATGTAAATTTTAGCAGGTTCGCGTGAACTATGTTCCAGGTATGTCGGTGAACTTACCATCATGCACGGGCCGTTGAGTTTCATCGTCAATCATTTGAAAATTGCCTAATCATTTCAATCATTTGAAAATGTAATTCGTCACTCATTTGAAAATGTCCTAATGCGCTTCTGAATTTGAACCGTTTTCAAGTGATTAAACTATACAGTTCTAACACTACAGAATACGCGCACAACTAATGCTAGTTAACTTGGGTCATTTGTTTTTAAAGTTGAACCAGCTTCTGATAATAACGCATAAGCCTGGTTATCGATAGAAAATCCGGGTGCTATCTAAACAGCTATGAATACGGCAAATACAATTTATATTTGAACATGGATAGAACAAACATGATCACGCAATATTTAGTTGAAGATAATTTGGTTTAAAGTTTTAGGATATAGTAGCATGCACTCTCTCGACGTTCTTTCGAAAATAACGAAAAAATGTTTTCGGACTCCAATTGCCATGAAATATCATTTTAAATAAACCACCATTTCAACTCACTTTCATTATAATTTAAATTGACAAGCATCTTTGGATTCAGAAACAAATGATTCTTTTGATTTTTGAATCGGTGTGTGGTCTTCAACGAAAATAAAAATTTTACACTAAAAAAATGAGTTTATAAAATGTTTGATAACAAATTTTAGGAAAAGCAAAAATTGCAAAAAATTACATTTTTACCAACCAAAATTGTGATCTAAATATAATTCTATTCACCATTAATGTTATTTTGAATTTTGTTAATTTTATTGTTTACATTTAGAGCACTTTATATTCTTACATTTTTTCGAACACCATAAAAGTGGCATCCATAAATGGGCTGCGGAGTAACAATCTTCAGGTGGCAATCTTTTCATAGATTGCTACCTGAAAACCTAATTCTCAACGAGATCAAAGAAAGCCACTGTTTTTATAAAAATTTTCTTGCATGGTTATTAGGAAATGCATTCAAATATCAAATTGAATAGATACTTTTACTTTGTGCTGACAGGACAGAATACGCATTGCGGAACAGGAAAAAGTAACGGCGTCACGGGCGTATAATTCACGTTACAAAAGTTGACCTGCAGATTCGTGTAGCACAATCAAGGGCAATAAATTATTTAAGTGGCTTCAACTCATCAGATCAGTCAGAGATATTAATACAAAATAAGCTATAATTTTTCCATGTAAAAAATATTCATATATAATTCCATATATAAAATATTCATGAAGTCACATTGTTGTATAAACCGTTATCAATGTTTACCTAAAATATAGTGATAAAAAAATTGGAATTTGATTACAATTGTTGACTGCGAATCATAACGATGTTGACTGAAGCAATACAGAGATTTTGAAGTTCACACAGAATTTGTACAATATATCAAACTAGATAAATTATTGGTAGACATAAGGATTATAGTACAACACATGTTTTCTTCTACACGGCAGAATAAATGTTATTTTACCTATTAAAAAAATTATCATACACACTTGACGGTCCTGTGCATACCTTGCCTGTAGCAGGAATTATTAAGAGGTACATAGGGGGTAAAGTAGCACATCTCACCTGTACATGAGCTCAATGTACATCTGAAGAGGACTAATGAGAGACATTGGGAGGTGCATTAGTACAAGCTGTGACTAGTAACTAGGTGCTGAACAGTGCTGGATACTAATGAGAGAGTGCATGGAGGTAAAATAATGGTAGTTTTTTTTATTACACCAATGATTTTATTAACCAATGATTGTTAGCAAATGATTGTTAGCCAACGAAGTCGCAGAGCAGATGCAAGAAGTATGCAGCCAAAGAGAGCTGTGCTTACAAATATTTTTCTCGAGCATTTATTGTTAATAATTTAAAATTTCAAATGCATTTAATTATTTAAAAAGTGTTAAAATACCATTGCAGTCAAATTAAACTGAACGCTATGCTGCTTTTATCCTATAAAATATCATATGACTCTAATATACATATTTGAAACGTGGGCTGCAATTCCGAGCTGCGTCTACTCTAACCGCTGAGAAACAATCATTGTAAGTTGAAGTAATTTTTGTTTTTTTTTTCTGTCATATTACATAGTGTATAACATCCTGCATGAAATATTCATGCAATAGGGTTGAATCTGCAAAAGAAGCTCACACATCAACAGAGTTGGTAGTTCGCGGGATTTATGTTAGAAAAAACAATGCCTGATTAAGGAGTTTGGACTCATATTCCTACCAGCGCACTAATTTGAATTGAAATAATTTGGTTATTGATTTTATTAAAGAATTTAATAGCAAAGAAAAGTCCACAAAAATTCATATCTTTATTGAAAACATTTCGGAGACCAGCTCCATCGTCAGTTCGTAGAATCTAGAATCACAAATTAGAAGTCACGAATTGATACATTGGAAGCACAGAACGAAATTAAAAACCTAAATTTACAAATAATAGACAGAGCATAAAAACTATCTATTCACAATTTCAAGGGGATAGGAGCTAACAGTTGAGTTCAAACTGGGCCTAAGTTTAAAGATGTACAATGATACTAAAATGCTCAAATCTGAAGTACCGGAGGTGGAAGCTAACACCCTAAAGTCACTGTCAGAAACAGGCACATCACACTGCTCGGCGTGAGTGCGCACAGCCGAATGAGGTGGGCGCGATAAAAACTGTCCGGTTCGAAAACTCCTGCCCTTATGCTCAGCGATCTCATTCGGCTGTGCTCGCTCACGCCGAGTAGTGTGATGTCCCTAGCTGTTTCTGACAGTGACTTTAGGGTGTTAGCTTCCACCTCCGGTACTTCAGATTTGCGCATTTTAGAATCATTGTACATCTTTAAACTTAGGCCCACTTTGAATTCAACTTTAGCTCCTATCCCCTTGAAATTGTGAATAGATAGTTTTTTTTTTTTTTGTGCTCTGTCCATTATTTGTAAATTTAGGTTTTTAATTTCGTTCTGTGCTATCTATATATTGATTTGTGACTTCCGATTTGTGATTCTAGATTCTACGAACTGACGATGGAGCTGGTCTCCAAAACGTTTTCTACAAAAAGATATGATTTTTGTGGACAATTCTTTTCTTTTAAATTCTTAGTTAATTTGCGATTTCAGCAAACAAGTGACATCAATTCTTTGATTTTAGTTTCCGTACTTCATTAATATTCTATGATTGCAATTCAGAAGTGTATCTTTGAAACGGATGCCCCAATTTTGGTAGAAGGGGCAGTAATACAGGCGGCAAATGGGATGTTTTGATTGTTCCGAAGATTATTCAAAAAGTAAATATTAATTTTCATTTTTTATTGTTCCGAACTTTATATGGGATGTTTCGATTGTTGCGAGGAACTTGAACTTTTTTCAATCTAATAAACTTCGATTTACTTCAAAATTTCATATGGAAATCAGCTTATTACAATGGGTTGAACGTTGTTGGAATGCATATAAGCGATTCTCCATTAGGCTAATTGACGTGAAATAATAATAATGATAATAAGCAGCGCTAATTATTTAACATGAGTTAATTGTTGTTAAGCCAAAAAAATATGTTGAAGCGGGTCGGATTTAATTGAGCACGTGTTACCGAAAATGAACCTCTACCGCCATCGCAGAACTGTCACAGACAATCAGTCAACTACGTTTAGATGTACAATTCTTAGTCTCCCGGTTTCATACGTAATTACGTTGACATATACTTTTGTTTTAGCTCGCCATATACAGAGTGACATTATTTGTAATAGCATTCATTTATTAGGCATATAATGTACACCGTTCGATAATAATTCAGCCTTAAATTTTAAAAGAATGTATGCGAGATCTCAATCACATTCATCGGTAACCAGGATTTTACGTGTGACGAAAAATAGTGCATAGGTCTCAATCTTGTTTATCGATAGCTACGTTCTTACTTATGAAGCCAGCAAACAATTTATAGTTTACAATTATGTTGATCGGTAACTCGGCTATCGCGTATGACGCCCGCAAACATTTACTATGTTTTGGTTCTTTTGCTCGAATATTCCGCTACTAGGTGTGACGTCTGAAAAATATTTTGGATGTATTAACCATGTTGATCGGTAACTCAGTTATTGTGCCTGAAGTCAGCAAACAATTTTTAGTTTACGATTATGTTGATGGATAACTGAAATATTGCGCGTGTAACACTCACTTGACACTAGACGTCGCTTCGTTGGCCGACTCGTTGTAAACGTCCGTGACTTTGGCGTCGAACAGCAGCGACTGCATCAGTTTCTTATCGCCTGTAAGGAGCACAAAGAAGGCTCAATAAACATATTGAGCATATCTATGAGCATATCTTTGAGCATATCCTTGAGCACATCCTTGAGCATATCCTTGCATTAAACTCACGTATACTTTGAGGTGAAAGTAATGCAATCTTCGTGATTGATAAACATCGCGTTTCTGGCAATTGGAATTACTAAACAAATTTGTTTGTCTCGATTTCCAGTTATACGTTACGATATAGTTTTAGCGTTGAAATTTTTGAACTAATTTTGACTCGGTGATTCATGATAAATCGGAAAATTTTTTATACCCAATCAGTGTCATGGTTGTAGGACCGGAAATTAATTTTGTGAAGAGAGAGAATCTATACATATGAACTCTTTTAAGTAATGGAAATACTTACAGAAATAGTTCTTTTTCTTTTCCTCGTCGCCCTGAGGCAGTTGTTTGGCTGCAGTTTAGGGAACGAAATTCTTTGTTAATGTGTTATTAATTTTGACAATGAAATAAATAAATCAATGGAGAGTTAGGATATGAATATGTACAAATTTTATGGAGAAATAAGTAATAAATAATGAACTCGCGAAGAAGATGAAAGGTGTTAAGAACTTCAAATAACTCAACATATATCATTCTCTCAAATCCGACAGCTAGATAAGTTGTTACTTTGTTCTGGAAACAACACTCAATCCTACTATAGAGGTAACACTGAACATGTCCGTATACTTGACCAAATTTTGAGCTACTGGAAGTCCGACGAAATTTTGAAACAAATGGACTTTATTTTGTATCTATTTATTTATTAACAGTTGTTAGTGCTATTCATAGCTTAGTACGTAGTAACTAAGGATATCGTCAGTTAGACTAAAGGTTAGTATATATTGTAAGACACATCATCTCAAATTTCTCTATTGGAATTCTCACAGTTACTCTCTGTACAGTTCAAACCCATGGACCTGCCAGTTTCTGAAGTTAAAATCTCTCAAAGTTTTCTTCATGCATTTGAATAAAACTAACTTCTCTTCTGTTATACATATTATGTGACTCACAAGAGTCCTTATCAGGGTTGGTGGGCGGCACAGTTCTTGTGGACCGCCACTTCCAGCCTTGCTGCTGCGCGCGCCCCAGGAAGTGAGAAAGAAGTGCCTCGGGCGTGTCCAAGTACGGTGCCCCGAAGGGCTTCTCGTACTTGTACTGGCAGTACACCCTGAGTAGTACATACATTTAGTTAGTAACCTACGTCTCGTACTTGTACTGGCAGTACACCCTGAGCAGTACATACATTTAGTTAGTAACCTACTTCTCGTACTTGTACTGGCAGTACACCCTGAGCAGTACATGCATGTGATTAGTAACCTACTTCTCGTACTTGTACTGGCAGTACACCCTGAGTAGTACATGCATTTAATTAGTAACCTACTTCTCGGACTTGTACTGACAGTACACCCTGAGCAGTAAATAGAGTACAACCCATATATACTGAGGGGATACTAACTTCATTATTCAGAATCGTTCAAAATTAGCATCAAGATTTTATACTAATTAATAGAAATTTATTTTATTATTTAATTCTATAATCACCGACAAACAACAATTAGATCATTTCTCAGACAAGGGCTCACAACTATCTTCGCAAATTTATAATAAAATTGCCCCCACAGAATTATTTTCATACTATTCTGTGGATATTTTTTTAGCGTGGATTCGTCAAACACAAAGATGTTCAATTATCAGGTTAGAAAATAATGAGACGGATAATTTACACTCACCAATCCGGATGAATGTTCCACGATCCATTCCGGAAATAGTGAGACACTGAAAAGAGAATGTTGTAGTCAAATGAATGTGTTTAAAATCATGAATTAGAGGCCGAGCAACATTGTGAGTCACTCATCTATCATGAGGTTCACTGGAATTAGCGTCGTACGCCGTAAACTGAATGAAATGAGCATTTAATAGTAATTAAAAAATTTCAATGGCAGTCCAGCATTTATAACAATTACCTTTGAACATTCACATAAACGATGGGGAACATTAACAAATAACTAGTTCAAAAAAGTAAATGTTGAAAATATTGCCTGTGAATTTCCACTCTGCAGGAAAATTGATATACGCGTATTTATAAAATTACTATAGATAGACAAAAAAACGTTAATTTTGAAGCTCTGCCAACTTATTTAAGAGAATGGTCTCTTAATGCCCGCTTGCATGATGAAACAACAAAACCTTGACAAAGTTTCAGCAGCCGTTGCAAGGATCGACCAGAGACCAGAACATCCTTCATACAAAAGTGCTTTTAACAAATAAATCCTCAAGTCCTGATGGGCAGTGTATCCTGATGTCTCATCAGTCCTGCTGATCTCTAGCTAGTCTCACCATTCTCATCAGTCCAGCAAGTCTCACCATTCTCATCAGTCCTGCTGATCTCTAGCTAGTCTCACGATTCTCATCAGTCTAGCAAGTCTCACCATTCTCATCAGTCCTGCTGATCTCCAGCAAGTCTCACCATTCTCATCAGTTCTGCTAGTTTCACCATTCTCATCAGTCCTGCTGATCGCCAGCAAGTCTCACTATTCTCATCAGTCCTGCCGATCTCAGTCCCGCAAGTCTCACCATTCTCATCAGTCCTGCTGATCTCAGTCCCGCAAGTCTCACCATTCTCATCCTGTCTCTTATACACATCTAGATGTGTATAAGAGACAGGTCCTGACATGTGTGGGACCACACGAGGGTTTTAATGCGGTCCTGACATGTGTGGGACCACACGAGAGTTTTAATGTGGTCCTGCCATGAGTGGGCACACGGGACAGTGGTGATGTGGTCCCACCACGTGTGGGACCGCGAGAGTGTGGCCACGTGTGGGACCACGAAAGAGTTGTGACGTGGACTTTCATCAAATAAATACTGTATATGAACGTAATTTTATCTCAAAATTCAATTGCACACTCCGACCATTGTCTTAATCTTAATCTCTTCTTAATTTACCTGCGTATTGTGATTTTCCTCACCATTTGATCCATGTGGTGCTTAACTGTCTCGATGAAGAAGAGCGGCTCTTGCTTGATCATCATTTGTCGAATCTGAGTTGAGAACAAACAAGTCAATATTGTTGAGCATTAAACTGGACATATTATAAAAGTGGTTATAATTAAAGTCAAGAGTTAGTAGATGACGCTTGTTATGAGGATGAAGTTGAAATTAACGAGCAATCTCAATTGTGGAGTGAGGAAAGTCAATTTGAAAAATTTTGAGTGGAGTGATTAATAAATTGAACATGAAATGACTTAACTTCACTTCGGAGGGGATGATTAATGAGAGGCAATGCATGTTTATGGTGAGTGAGTGGTGAAGTGTCCACTCACACTCATTAGGGTGGAGTGGTTATGTCAGATGACTTACACTCATGAGGGTGGAGTGGTTATGTCTGGGTTCATCCACCTCGGCCGGCCCAGCCGGCAGCTCGACTTCGGTGAAGTCTACGCTGTTGTAGTTCGGCTTGAGGATGTCCTGGAACTGATGTACAACACACGTACGCTTGTCAGGTCCTTAGTTGACGTATTAACATTGCTTAGTTCTTAAAAATCACTAATTGATTTGTATTCCAAGTAAGTTTTGTGAAGTTGAAAAAAATATAGCGAATTTGGAGTATTCTCAATTTGGGTTTAAATTTAAATTTTCATTGATATATATCGGAGCTCCTAAATGCATGTGAAAAAATAATTCATGAATGCATTCACGAGCGAAATAAATACTCATTGTAAGTCAAATTATTAAAATAAAAATTTTGCATTATTGATATTATCGCTTGTTAATTATCAGAATTAAATTCATCATGATATGACTGTAAACGTAGAAGTCGATTCATCAAGTAGTGGGTCTAAATTTCTCTTAATATTCACTCTAATTGAATTTAAATTTGATGCCAGTAAGAGTAATTGGAAAGGAATCACAGAAATTAATTTGATTTATTTCGCTTGACGAACATAAGCTATATGAATATTTATTGACAGTGCCCGACGGATGGAACATCGCAGCGTTCACTGTAGGCAACGATGAGTCATGAATGAAAAATATCGTTCAGCAGATCATTCAACAGAGCGTCTTAATAAAATATAGAATTATCATGAGCAATTATAAAAAGAAATATTATTATACAAACAATTAAAATTAAACATACGAACTGTTTGCGTTAACAAACTCAACCTGTTAAGTGAAATTATTTATTTTTACGAGAACCACACATTACGTAGCTTCACGCAGAAAACTTCCAGCGTCCATGTCCACATATCGCCGCATGCATGATTACTTATAGCAACAAGTCAAATTCTATTCAAACAAATTCGCAAAATCTCAAATCAGCGCCGATAAAAAGTTAATTTTTGCATCCGTTGGGCGCTAGAAAGCGTCGGGCATCATTAGGAAGATCGTGCAATAAAAACGAACGAGTTATTAGAATACAAAATTTGAGAAAACTGCAAACCATTAGAGAACTTAGAACCGGCGTAGTTGCGGAACTTAGGACGCTGCTACAAAAGATGCTAAGTCCAAGCCTAATGCTTCATGATTAAACGCATCGCAGTATGCGTGCAAAATCAAGCCACTTTGCAGCCTTTGACTTTCGTTCCACAGCGGCGCTGACAAAAGGAAGGCTCAACTTTACACTAAGCAGTATAGAAATGTCACAAATTTGAACCCAATTAATTTTTTATTCTGGATTTCCTCAATTCACGAGTTATTGCAAGCTTTGTCTTAAATTAAACAAGACATTAATTGTTTTAGAAAGCACAAACGTTGGGGTAGTTCATGTAAATAAACTCAGTTAATTGGCATGACCGCCTATAGCTTTTCCTTTTGCCAGCGGCGAAGAAGATCTCAAACAAGGTCTCACTGGGAAGCATTGTGTGGCAGTGCCACTCAATGTGTTTTGCGTGGCAAAAATAATTTGATATAATTTTTTAGCCAAAAATAATGTCAAAATTTGTTCAATTTAAGTAAACAAAATATCTGATAAAGAAATAATTTTTGTCAAGCTTTCGAAGCTTCATTGAAGAAGCAGTTACTCGAAGTACTGCGACATCGATCATCGAATGAATTTATCCGAACACGAGTCGCGTTTGTTGAAGAAATTTGAGCGAAGCAGGAGACCGAGTATGGATCTCAATATACAGGAAACAAAGTTACCCTTCACAAAGTCGTCATAGGTGCCATTATATACCTCAGCATTGCTTTCTTCGTGCTGGAGAGTAAAAGAAAACTGCCGTGAGACAGACATCATGTAGAGTAATGATTGCAATTTACGGTAGGAAAGAAATCCTGATTGGGAAACTACAACTGCTCTAGGTTTTGTCCGATAAAAATGAAGAGTAGCTTGGGTTGACACATTGAAAGGGAATTGCACAGTACAAGAAGCTGAAATTGAAGTTTTATGAACTATTACTATATTCTAGCAGAAAAAAATTGAGAACCATGCAATGGTTGGGTCATAACTTGTCACTGGAAACTTACAACAAAATGTCTAGTGCAATGACAGATGGGATTCTGGTTCAGCCAAAAATATATAAAATAGCTTTATTTCAAAGGAAAAACCTAGATGTTTTTTGTAATTGGTCTACTGCGGGAGAGTACACAAGGAACTATGAGGTTTTCTTGACTTGAGTTGTGGAAGTCTCGGGAGAAACAAGGTTCATGCTATGGAATCAAGAGAATGGCTAGGATATATCCTTCTAGTGTGTAAAATCATAGTGATAAAAATTAAATTAAATTATTAATTCAATCTGGTGAACTACAAACGAATAGCGTCCATGTTGCCGTACTAAGAACTGAAGAGTATCTTTCATATCTATATGCTTTTCAAATAGGAGGGCCTGACGAGCCGAACACTCAGATGTCTGTATTTGCCGTAATGCTTGAGAATTCAACAGGAATTTAAAAGCAAAGAAAATAGCCAAAAATTTCACCATTTCTTATAAGAGAAAACGTTTTCTCTTATAAGAAATGGTGAAATTTTTGGCTATTTTCTTTGCTTTTAAATTCCTGGTAAATTTGCGACTTAAGCAGCCAAGTGATTTAAATACTTGAGAATTCAAGAATTAGAAAGAATATTGGCTGCATCTACAGCCTTTGTATAGCCAATAATGACTACTTCACTAGCCAATATTTATTCATTCATGAGCCATGCCTGAATGAAAGCTCCAAAATTTTTATCTGTAGAGATGTTTGTTGCTCGCTAATAGTAATAGAACTGAAGAAGTCACTACCAAATTTTCATCAATAACTCAATAAAAAAACAAGAATTCTGACGTAGGGCATTCAATTTCATATATTGGGAACATATGTATAGCATATGTTCCCTGTATTTTTCTGTATGTTCAATCTCAAACATGTTATACGTATAAGCGTACTTCAATTTAAAAGCATATTTTTCGTTTTTTATCTGGCTTACACAGTCTATTTGCAATCATTACTATATAATTTAATTTAATTATTTAGTTTATTAATTTAGTTTAATTATTGCCACTTACCACGGGTCGGAGGTCGGGGTGGTAGAGGATGTGTCCGTTCTGGTTCACGATGAATGAATACCCATTCACGCCGAGCTGGTGGGACCAAGCGTCGCTTCGTAAACACTCACATACTAAGATACTCAACAATGTAATAATGGTTACAATGGTTACAACTTCTGTTGTTTTTGTTTTTTTTCTTATGACTCCAAACTTTATTAATTTTCTGACTGTATTTGTGTTCTAGATTTATCGAACTGGCGATGGAGCTGGTATCCGAAACGTTTTCAATAGAGAAATGCTGAATTTTTGTGGAGTTTTCTTCGCTTTTAAATTTCTAGTGAATCTGCGATTCAAGCAGTCTAGTGACATTATTACTTGGTTATAAACATATCTACACTCTTCATACACAAAGACGTGACTATCACATTAGTGGAAGGCTTTTACAGCTATTTCGGATAAGCAGGCGATCACTTATTCAGGGGGTTTTAAATTTTGATAAGAAGCGCGTTTAGAACCCGTAGAGTTCCGACTAAATCCTGGAAAATCGTACATCACGAGAGCTTCTTGTAAAGATTTTTAAGGCATATTTTTGGATCTCAGTTTTAAGACTCCCGTAAAGGGAATAAAATTAAGTTAAAATAGTGAAATAGGCTTATGTGATTACCGACGAGTTTCTTCCGTCACTTTTGCGCCATTCTATCGCTGGATTAAAGTGCGAAGATTGATCAGCATTACGTCATCAATATTAAAAAAATATTTAATTTTGATCGTCCTTTAACAAATTCTTGGTTCTGATTGAAGGTCAAGCCAATTTAACATAAGCATTATCAATGGTATTATTTGAACCACAATTCATATCTCTCAATCGTAACAACATTGCTCATCAAACAATTACATACTCACTAATACATCATATTCAAAATATTTATTAGATCGTATTTAATGCAACACATGAAGGCCTAAGCTGAACCATCAAATAGTGGTCAAAACAGGAGTCAATAATTAAAAATTAATATTATATATATATAATGGTATTAGTATATGTATAATAATATTATAAATATATTAATACAATATATAAATAATCATTACCTGGTAGCAGGCCAATAATTATATATAATTTATAATTAGGCTTTATGAAACTTCATTTATATTAGGATGTGAATGAGAGATTAGTCTATGAATGATGGGCGCTCAAAAGTCAGCAAGGAGGGATTTGTTCTTCAAGAATTTTAGCAGATTGTGAGAGCAGAAATAAATGTTTTAACTTACAAATATTACAAAAATAGTTCAAAAATGCAAAGTTACACTGTTATTTCTAATTAAAATATTGAAATTGTAACATGAGCAGTGAAGCCTGAGCAACATACACTTTGCCTGCGGCGAAAGTATCTATAAGTGATCAGTACCAGTGATAAAGTTAACAAAATATCAATCAATAAGTGTTAACCGTTTCTGCGATAAAGTGTCTGAATTTCTGATTTACATTCATCACAGGTAAAATCAATCTGTAAGACAATAATATTTTATGCATGCTTCACTCACCTTGTACGGAGGCGCGAGCTTCTCGATTTCCTCGATCGGTACATCCGTACCTGCGACGCCGAGCAGGTTTGCTGTTTTTACCTACAAAAAGTGACAAATATGCCGCATTCATTTAGTTTAATATAATCATGAAATCCTGATACATCCCCCAAAATATCCTAATTCAGTTAAAAAAAACATCCAGCCTGAATTGATATCGTTGTTCCGCGGCTTTTGCAAAAAGAAGTGATATGGAAGTAGTTTGAAAATAATGTTCTTATGTTTTGTTCGGGATGTGATCTTCAACTTTTTGGATTGAAATTCATTTTTGTTCTGAAATGTTTATGGTTTTTATTCTTAAGTAATAGACAATGCAAAGCCCATTCTGAGACAAAAAATATCCAAAAATTTCAATTCGTCTCTTTGAACAAAATTTGCGGGCATCTGAAAAACTGCAAAAACATTTGCGATGAGGTAAGCATGAATATTTGGGGGAAACGGTAACCTTGATTATAAATTTAAGGGCATTTATGTCATTAGAGGAAATACTTTTTGCTATTTCAAAATGTGAAACAGGCAATAATGATGAATAGTTATTGTTGCATAGCGTCAAATGGACGCTGATCAAGGGAACCTTAGAACAGTTCATGCTATCGGCTCAAGAACCAGAAAAAAAGATTCATTGGTTCCAATAAACGACGGCTGATTGACATACACTTAAAATAGTTCGAGGGGAGGGGAAGTGCAAGAAATAGGGGAGTTTAGGAGCACTTTGTGCCACGAAGCTATCACGCTGTAAAAATATATAAGTCATGACAGTGACATACACGAACAGATCAAATCAACTTATTAATAACATGTTTATAACAACTTCCACAAAGTACAATAATATATTTAATTCCATTTAAATCAACTGTATACAAGTTAAATGCTTGGAACATTAAACATTTTTTTCGTGAGTTTTATTATTGGAAATGAATTATAATCTATAAATTATTATTGATAGTTGAGTGCAACTTGCTGGTTCCTTGATCCAGCAACTGAACGGCATCATTGGGTCAAGAGAAAGAATGTTCAATGTTCACTGTATTCAAGACTCCTGAGATAAATAAGTTTCCACGATCTAAAAGGGTAGCAACTAAGACGACCTAAAGGTGCTCTCACGTGACTAATATCAACAATAAGGACAAAAGTAAGATGAAAACAATAAAGTTTGGTGCTGGCCTCCGCCAGTGTCGGCAGAGAGCCGACAGCTGACTCTCTCGCCCTCTGAAGGCTGCGTAAAGAGATGCCGCAACACCACAACATGACAGACTAAAGTAAAAATCTAGCTGCTAGTTATTAATGTATTGGTCAACAAGGGCATACTGGTATACTCACAACTGATTTCTAGTCATTATCAACAGGACTATAATATTGGGGGAGATGAACAAGGGTAGAAACTTGGCGCAAAACTCGCTCATCTCCACTAGCTCTTAGTTGATGCAGGAACTGAATTGAAACTAGACGAATTATACGCAAGCTGTTAGCTTACACGAGCTGGTTGTTTGCTGGTAGTTAGCTTACACAGGCTGGTTGATTGCTGGTAGTTTTCTCACACGCGAGGAACGGAGTAGTAATGTAAGACTTGATGTCAACCGAGAGACGACGTCACATACACGAGGTGAAAATGAAATTACTGCTACGATGTTTGATAATTTCAAAATAACATTGTCAATGACGACGGTCCGGACAAGTGATGTTGACGGAAGAATGTCAGTGAAAGAAATGAATAAAATATTAATAATTTTAACTAAATCGAAAATGAATGACCAGGCGATGCGAACTTATTGCTCTCATCTCAAACTAAGAACTTGAGGGGTGACAAAAATAATTTCATTATCCATTCCGCATTCATTATTTGACTGCGAATTTAATGTGATGGCTGATGATCGCGCCAAAAACATGAAATTTGATGACTATTCTACTTCAACAAATAATCGGCAGATAAAAATGTAATGAGATGACATTCAAAAAGCAGAGATGAAAAGATGAAAAACGATGAAATTGAATTCGTTGCCATCGTCAGGGAGAATCTCTTTGCTCACCCACAGTTGACATCAGGCCAGTAGGTCTAATTGCAATGTAAATGCTGTACACGTTCATAACATGTTAAGGTCATTCCGAGCTCACTATAACTTCACGATACTATCTTTAGAGGGACTTCATGCATAGAGAATATTTATGGGTTGAACCGTCTTGCAAGGGTCGAATATGAGGGAAGGGATTGTTTTGCGGGCAGGACTCAATCCTATGCACTATCCTATACCATCCTCATTTCTCTGGCATTGTTGCAATTTTTTTTAGAAATTCATGAGTGTATGGTGATTGTTTCTGTGGTATTTTACGCTCATGGTGGTGAATTTTATTTTCTGAACCTGAATTATAATAAACATGTATGTCTCGTCGTTAAGCAAAATATTGTGAATCTCATTTATGAATATGGACCAAATTGGTACTGAATGAAGGCGAATGCAAGCTATCATCGTCCCTCACAACCAGCGATATATCAACTACAACAATGAACCATTTAAATGGTTATTCGGGTGCTGTGTTCAAAAGAAGGTAAATGATATCATGATGTGTTAATAGGAACTAAACATAAACATCAAGTGTTTTTTTTTCAATTGACATAGTTTTTTTTAGTTGGTCCTAATTAGCAGCTCTCATGGGCTTTTTAATTGTTATTTATTTATTGATGTAAAATGCTGTTTTAAGCAAGAATAATCAGAGCAGATATATTTTCGATTGTAAAATTTTTGAGTAATAATTGCGCGTCATGATCGCCTGAATTTTAATCTTGTTGAATCAGCAATCGACGCGACTACAGATTGTACCTTTTCTTTTGATTCATCCATTCACTCCTAATACGTTTAGTTAGAAATAACATTGCAAAGCCTGTTAGCAGAGTCTCTTTGGCCATAAATAATTCAATTTCATATTTCATTCACAAGAAATGGGTTTGCAATTGAGTTTTTTTGTCCAGAATTGAATGCGACGTTTCCGTAAATAAGTTGAATGTGTATTCGAATAATCGCAGCACGTGCACCAAAATTTAAGTCAACATAATTATCAGTCAACAGAATTTAAGATAAAACAGTTCAAAATTTTCTAGCATACTAAATAACCGTGTAAATTTTGGATAACTAGACTAAAGGAAACTATGGTAAAGATTTTCTCTTGAAAAAATAGACAAAAAAAAGCCACGTGGACAATCTATTTGAATAGGTTTAACTATCAGGAATAGTTACTACAACCATGTGGGCCATATATTTACTAGTTTTCTCTAGCAGTTCCGAATTCTTACACCAAGGCTAATTTCAAACGGATACAAGCTTTACTAGGGACTATATAGTATGTAGGCGTCTGCTATCATGGCTAACTCAAGGATTTCGAACTCGTTTGTGAGTTTAACGTTCAGATCTCGACAAGTGGAATTTAAATCGAATCAAAAATGCAGTAATTCTCATGCGACAGTTATCAAGACTCAATAAAAATTTAATATAAAGAAATTTAAGTATCCTTTCGATGATACACTGCATTCTATTGTGTTTTATAATTAATTTAAGGGATGTCTGTGTTTGTGTTAAGTAAATGACGGGTTCGTCATGGGGATGAGGAATGTTTTGAAGAATAAGATGTTGTTATGTGTGAAGTGATAAAGGTATATAAGAGATGTGAGGTATACCTCTTCTGTCCTGGAAACCCAAACGCTGTGTCTCTCCAGAACTTTTTTCGTGATGTTCTGAAGAAATTGAAGAATGGAAGTGAAGGGCAGTTGGTTAGAGAGGCCCAAATTGGGGGAAAATAAATAAGAAATCATGAACGATACATGAAACAAATCATCATCTTATTGCATCATACCACCTAAGCTAACAGTATAATGGTATAATTTGATTATATAAAGAAACAAAGACAACTAAACTAACTTAATTTTAACCGCGCGTTAAGATTTTCATTGCGAGCTCGTATTTGCATTTTTAGGCACGGAACAAGAACGCATGGAACAAAGTTACCGATTGTTTTCACAAAATTTTCTTTGCATGGGTGCTGCATGTTTGAAGATACTCGTAAAATAAATTTCTGAGTTCTAATAAATAACATTTTAAATATTCACCTGAAATGAGGAATAAAGTTTTCATTCATAGGCTGCATTAAACCAGTAACCAATCAAGTCCGTCAAATGCTTAAAATGAATGAAAAGATTGCAGCCATAGCTGGGAAAACATTTCCCAGGATGCAATAACCAAAGTTTAACCGTTTTGAAAAAGGAGCATATATTGAACTGTGCGTGAATATTAATTCAAAAAGCATGAGACTAGGCTTATGGCTGCAATCTGAAATAGGCTTAAAGCCTCATGAGACTCTCTGCAGTGAGCCTGCAGACAGCCTATACAGACACTGTTGTGGACGAACCTTGACTTCAGAGCGGCAGACTTTCAATGCGCAATTTAAATGATATACTCAGTACTCTTAGGCAACACATTATACCGAATACAATTATTTGTTTCTAATAAGCAAAAAAACATCTGAAATATACGATCTTGATTAAATAAATAGTTTAGGATAGGACATTGCTCCTGGCGGGCGAGGCTAGATCGTATGTACTACAACACCAGATGGTAATGATAATTTAGGTATTGATTACCACAAAAATTGGTGTACGTCACTATAATCAACAGTCCAACACTAGATATGTTCCAGCTTGATCGCCCAACGACACATCAACATGAGCTAATGTTCCAACATAGTTGCACAATGGATCTCAGTTTGAGCAAATTAACGTCTGAACTGTTGCAGTAACGGACATAGCGTGGCCCTAGCAAGACAACAGGTCACTGGGGCCATAGCAAGACAACAGCTCACTGGGGCCATAGCAAGACAACAGCTCACTGGGGCCATAGCAAGACAACAGCTCACTGGGGCCATAGCAAGACAACAGCTCACTGGGGATCTGCTAGTAACATTTATTGGATGGCCCAGAACTTGAGAACTTTCATACATTTCCAAGAGAGTTAGCAGAATCTCTATACTGTATCCATAAATGTCAATGAGATTGTATTCGTATTTGTTACAAATGAATTCATGTTAAATTTTACGCTTGAGTTGTCCTGTAGAAGTTTAAAAATGTAACACCAATATTAGTGCTTACATTATTTTCAACCATTGAATAAACGAAAATTGTATTAATTACAAAAAAGTCCAAAAAGCTACTGTCTCTTCAAGTCCAAAAATTCAAAATAATGAACTTAAACTGAAAAACTTTATTACGCACAATCTCCTTCATGATTTTTACTGTATAACATGTAACATGGTTATGTTATGTGACCTATCATAGCTTTACAGTCAGGTTGCCTAGTGTCGAACTAAAAATAAATACAGGAGAATCTAGCGATTTTAAACGGTAGTACTGTATGGTGTTCAATACGTAACTGAATGATTACGTGCATAGTTTGTGTAATTGAATATACCGTATTATATTTAGTTGCATATAACAGCTATATAATAATTTTGAGAAGCGATTTTGATTAACAAATTGCCTTGGACATCGACGTTGCTGAAGGATACAGTCGAACCCCTAAGAGATGACATATGAGTCTATAGAGCAGACATGAATAAATCTCTATTTATAAATAAGTTTTTGATTATATGTAGAAAACATATAATGCTTCAGAAAAATCACGTCATTATTGATATCTGCGCGCTTGGTCATCTGTAACTGCCCAAAGTGTGCCATGGATATAATTAATGTTCTTATAATCATAAACCATTATGTTTATACAGTTATTACCATATTTTACGCAACATACGGTACTCCTACAAAAGCAATGCCACGAAAATTGCCAGATTTTTTTTTACCTTGTATTCAAGTAAAAAATCTCTTTACTGAGAAATGACAAACAAAATTAGAATTTGTGTTTATAGGTTTTCTAGGTATTCCTAAGAAATTTCACTGATGCATTAATAAGGTATATTATTAATAGACAAAAGCATGTGCTTTAATTGTTGGCATGAACTCCACAGATAAAGCATCTATGCTGGGGTTAAATAACGTTTTTCAGAATTTCTAGTGTGATATTTCTAAAATTTTTGGACACACTCCGACACTAAAATTTTACCTAGCGCCTCGTAATAACTTGATTCAAGCCCGGTCCATCAACTTGGATGAATTTGAATTTAGTTGAACTTTGATTTCAAAAACTAATTTGCTTTTAAAACATGATTTCTTAATAATACTATTCCAAGTATTTATCTGTGAAATAAAATGATAATAAAAATGTCAGAATAAATTACTGCTATCAACCAAAGTATGTTGGTATAACTTTCAGAAATTACAAGGCATAACCTGATGATATTTTTAGTTAGTATAACCTCAAAAATTAGAGGGAACCAAAATAGAGAAGGTTATAAACACAATTAATCTCTAGCATTAAACTCATGTAAAAACATAACGGTGCAGGAATTCCTGTTTGACAAGTAATATCCTGAAGCCGAGCTATCACCACTAGTTTCGAGTTCATAGCTTCCTCAACCAATCACTGACATCTTTCCCAACTCAACTAACCAATCACAAACGAGAAATAGTCCGCTATGTGCACTTAGGCTGCAACTTGCACTAATAAGCGATTTTTGAAAATACGGCCCTTGCCATTTAATTTAATGTCATCAATTTCATCAAGTACATTCACGTCTCAATTACCTTTTGTTCGGTTCAATAAAGAATTAATGCGACCAGGTTAGGGCGGGTCAACTTACCGAGGTGAGGTTGAGGTCAAACACGGGCACCGCGACAGAGGTCATGAGACGGTAGCCTGCCCTCTGCCCCCGCCCCTTGTGGCGACCCTGGGGGCACCGGTGGGTTCAGAACTCAGTACGGGTGCAAAACATGTGTAGTACAGGTGTAGTATACGTACGGTACACGTGTGGTACAGGTGTGGTACACGTGTAGTACAGGTGTAGTACACGTGTAGTACAGGTGTAGTATACGTACGGTACACGTGTGGTACAGGTGTGGTACACGTGTAGTACAGGTGTAGTACACNAGTACACGTGTAGTACAGGTACGGTACACGTGTAGTACAGGTACGGTACACGTGTAGTACAGGTACGGTACACGTGTAGTACAGGTACGGTACACGTGTAGTACAGGTACGGTGCACGTGTAGTACACGTGTAGCAGAGGTGTAGTACACGTGTAGTACAGGTATAGTACACGTGTAGTACAGGTATAGTACACGTGTAGTACAGATGCGGTACACGTATAGAACAATTGCAGTACTCGTGCTGTGCACGTATAGTACGCGTGCTGAACACGTGCAATACTCGTGTAGTACACATGTGTTGTACAGTTGTAGTACACGTGCAGATCACGTACATTGCACGTGTAGAGCACATTCAGCTGCCAGACTCAGAATTTAGGACAGTTTGGCTGTACATCATGTCATTTTGATCTCGAGTTGCAGAATGACGTTAAAGTAAAGGGCGAGAATCATTTAAAAAGTTATGAACTGTAAGGTTTGAATAATTGCCCAATTTTAAATTACCTTCGACGAAAAATATAGTTTTGAAATGCATTCAAAATTTTAATTAAAAAATTGAGTTCAAAAAATGTAATTTATACAATCTGGTTTTTGAAAACATTTGAAACAAATTTCAGCTCAAGATGTACATGATTAATTCTAACGATGTTGTATATAAGTAAATTTTGATGTTATTTGCAAATTGTACTTTAAAAAATATCAAGTCAAATTCGTTAAATATATAAAACTTAATCAGGATTAGAGTATCTGCTTCAAACAAATTAGAATGCAAAAATTATAGATTTCATGTATAAAAAAGGATAGGATACGAATGCAAGGAAACGGGCCGGTAAATAGGAATAAAGCGGTAGGGAAAATCTAAGCAGATATATAACAATGTTAAACCACAACTTCAAAGCGGCATGCAGGTAAATATTTTAAACATGTTGTAAGGATGCACAATAAATCGGTCCGATGCAATACAGTTAATATCAATCGGGCAATCAGACATAAAACATACAACGATGTTAAAAAGATACGAAATATTCTTCCACAACCAGCACTTCAATCGAGACTTCTAAGTTACATAACAGACTTCTGTAATGTAACTAAATCAGCGACTTATAAGTTACATTACAGAGAATCAGCTTATTGAACAGTCACACTCACATATCAATGTCCGAGGGATCTTTTTATTGTTTATTTGGTACAATAAATGATATGTGAAATTATTCAAGTACAATGAAACCAAGCACGCTGTAGAGAACTTCATCAGTTCGTAGTAAATCTACCATTCATTAATTTGAACTGCTCTGATATGATCTCTCTATCCCAGTAATAAGTTACATGTAAGTAGCAAAGTGTGAAGATACCTAACACATACTTCAGAAAATACACACAAGGCATTTACTGATATTTGAGAACATAAGACGACCATAACGTATTTCTAAATTAGGCCGCGACTGTGAGCTTTCCGACGTATTACGTATGCAATAAATTAAATACTCTGGCGTGTTACGTATGTAACAAATTAAGTGCTTCGACGTATTACGTTGCAACAAATTAAGTACTTCGATGTATTACGCTGCAATAAATTAAATACTCTGGCGTGTTACGTATGTAACAAATTAAGTGCTTCGACGTATTACGTTGCAACAAATTAAGTACTCCGACGTATTACGTTGCAACAAATTAAATACTCCGACGTATTACGTATGCAGCAAATTAAATACTCCGACGTATTACGTTGCAACAAATTAAGTACTCCGGCCGACGTAAAGCGCTGTGGATGAATCAAATAATCTAACTTATTACGATGGTAATATATCAAATATTCTGACGTATTATGTAGCAAGAAATCGGAACCCTGATGTACTACGGAGACAATGTACCAGTACTGCGACGTATTACGAAGGTAATGTACCAGTACTGCGACGTATTACGAAGGTAATGTTAACAGGACTGAGATGTTATTCGAGGGTAATCTACCAGTAACACGACGTATTACGAAGGTAATGTTAACAGGACTGCGACGTATTACGAAGGTAATGTACCAGTACTGCGACGTATTACGAAGGTAATGTACCAGTTCTGCGATGTATTACGAAGGTAATGTACCAGTTCTGCGACGTATTACGAAGGTAATGTACCAGTTCTGCGATGTATTACGAAAGTAATGTACCAGTACTGCGACGTATTAAGAAGGTAATGTTCCAGTTCTGCGACGTATTACGAAGGTAATGTATCTCACTACGACGTATTACCAAGGTAATGAAGGTAATGTATACAGGTTTATTTAATGTACTAATTACGCACCCGTCGCCAGAGGTCGAGGTAGCGCATTTCTCGGGTCATCTTGCGCTCTTTCTTTAAGAAGTTCTCAACCCTGAGCCTCGGGCCGAGGTTAAATAGACCGCGCCTCACTCTAACTCTGGGGACCTCACAGAGACCAGGCCTCACTCCTACATTGGTGGCCTCACACTCTGCTAAGTCGGCCTCTTCATCCTCAGCTGACTTTATTGTTGAATTTGGTATTTGACAACGAATGAACAATTAACACTGCGGTGCTTTTTATTAGAAATAAATGATTTAAATTAGAATTAGAATTTGATGATTCAAAGAAGTAGACCATTAAAAAAATTGGACGATTCATCAAATTAAATGATTCAAATTAAATGTATAAGTTATTTCTTAAATAATTTTTTTATTATTATCAATGGGGAATCTCAGTCGGAAACCAAACGAAAAATTATCGTCGAACGGAAGCATGAAAGAAAAGGAGAAAACAGAGACAACGTGAAATAATAAGCAAAAACATAGATTAAAAATTAATAACATTGAATAAACAATTAGTTATGAAAATCCAGTGCACACAAGCGTCGTTTGAAAACAAAAAATATAACTCAGTACTCACTGCAGTGAGTGACAGAGAGCGCATTTTCTCGTCGACGAAAACTTCAGGTCACGGACGGACGGACAGACGGACGGACAGACAGACAGACAGACGGACATGGCGAGAACAATAGTGCATTTTTTTCCATAAATGAGAAAATGCGCTAAAAACTTAACATATAACGAAATGTAATCATCACTGGTACATTCAAGTGCCGCAAAAACGGAAAAGATGAAAGATAGCGTTGGGTTTTGAAACCCAAACGCAACAATAGCCACGTGTAGGAATAAAAAACTGCAAGCTGCGGCCCAAATAAGCGGTTTAAAGCGGACATATATGGCCAAGAGGGGCGAGTACATTTGACAGGGCGACGCAGCAAGCGCTCAGTAATGCGTTCGAAATTTTCCACGAAGAGCATTGAACTTCATACAGTCGAGATACATGCGTGATGCATGGCAACTATAATATGCATCCATTAACTGATGAACTGCATCCATGAACTGATACACTGCATTCATTAACTGATGCAACACCTATTAACTGATGCAATGCACTTATTAAGTAATGCACTGCGTTTAATAACTGCTGCACTGTACCCATGAACTGATACACTGCATTCATTAACTGATGCATTGCATTCATAACTGATGCACTGCGACCATCGATTCATATGGCCCAGCGCCCGCCATGCCAAGGGACAGATTAGCCCAGCAACAGACCCAGGCAACAGGCCCCAGCAACAGACCCAGCTGTCAAAGACCCGAGTTTACCAAAGGGCCGCGGCTAGCGAACACTCACGATCATGAGCGTCCATTTGCTCCGGCGGAATATGAAGTGATAGTTTCTCTAAGAAAAAAGACAAAAAAAGCCGAGGTTATTGGGAAATTAACTTCGACCGAAAAACATCAGGTTAAAGCGTTTAGTTAGTGTATGATGCATGCGAGAAATGGCGTGGATTTTCAGGGTAAGTTCAAAACACAGACGTAACTCATTTTTTCGACTATAAATTTGTTCCTGAAGAAGATCGTATCTAATAATAATAAAGCGACATGCCAGTTTAATAGGACAGCTTTTTGGAAATGGTAAATTCTAAATCTAAACATTTATTTTTCAATTTTTTGATCAGGAAAAGTTCTCAATTAATAAGGAAACTACCAGGAAAATTCTGCACTACAAGAGGGTGGGAAGTGGGAGAGGGAGCAGTGCGTACGGGGTTGGTCGGTGCTGTCAAGGGTTCATTGTGCTTTAAAAAATAACGAAGTAATTAATCCGTGACAATTATAACTTTGACGCCATTACAAATAACTATTGTTTAGAGAAGACCTTAATTTCTTCATGGAGTTATATGTACAGCGATGCTCACGACACGATTAACATAATTAACATTAATAACAAAAGCTCTCCAAATGGACCGAAGCGAATCAAAGATATCAAATTTAAGCAGTCGTAGGGAAATTTTTATCAGAACGTAAGATTGCACGGGTGAAAAAAGCATCCACTGCAACTTTCAAGTAAGATATAAATTTATAATAATTGTGAACATCTACAATTAATTCAATAACACAAAGAAAAACTTTTACAATGAAGCTGAAAGAGTTTATGCTAAGAAGCTCCTCAGAAAATATCGTTAAAGGTGTCAATTTAATTTTTTACCCGAAAGAGAGATCATTTTAATCTCAAAGGTTGAAATACAAGCTGAAATATAAAGTAGCAATATTTCTTCTAACGAATGGTTTTCAATAAACTTACTTATCTACCAGTTATTTGAGCTTAGAACTAAACTTAGGTGCAGTGCCTAAAAAATTGATATTTAAGTATTTAAAGTGTCATGACGTGATGCAGATTTATTGATTATAACTCTCCCCTGGAATGATAATTAATTTGAATTACAAATGCGCGTCATCTCTAGCGAACGTCAGAGATATTTTCAAACTCATGAAATCGTTAAAATTTCTATCTTAGGAAACACATAGAGATGTGAAGATATGGTGAAAAAAGTTCAACTTTTTGAAGAACATTGAATTACATACAGAACACACAGAGGTGGGCAGTAGCACGCTACATGTTGCGGCCGCTACTAGCGGCCGCTACATTTTCAGCAGCGGTAGCGGCGCTACATTTAAAGCAATGTAGCGGTAGCGGCGCTACATTTAAAGCAATGTAGCGGTAGCGCCCGCTACATTTAGAGCATGTAGCGGTAGCGGTAGCGGCCACTACATTTCAATGTAGCGCTGCCCAGCTCTGAGAACACAACACCGAGGCGTAGAGAATTGTCGTGACGGAGAAGCGTGTTCAACTCACCCGTGTCGCACGCAAGGCATCAGCCTTGAGCTTGGCAATGTAAGCGTCAGATGCACCAAAGTCGCCATACCGGAGGAACTTTTCGACTTTTCTGGCATCGTTGAGCACAGTGTGTTCGAGCCGCTGCCCAGACTCGGTTGTGAAGTTCCCATTCTTGTTAAGTTCGCTCGTTATCACCGTTAGTTTCTTGTAATTCCGTGTTCTATCTAACTGTCTTTTCCGTTCGCGAATCTCCCACAACCACTCGGTTTGTTTCGGGTCCTACGAATATTTAAAATTGCCAAAAACACCATATAACGGAAGTTTGTTTGGGATTTATTGAATTTTGCGCAAAGTTATTCATTGGAAAAAAGTTCGTGTGTAAAAAAATTTTGAAATACAGGCTCCCAATATTGCGGAAGAGGGTAAGAGTTATTTAGGGCATTGCTTATCGTTACGTAATTGAATAGATTTGAAAATTTGAATATTGGACAGGAACATCATCAGAAAGCCCACGATGAAATTTGGAAGGCACGAGGGAAATTATAGTACTCCATTGAAATGAAAATTCGATACGTTTTCAAAAAAGGCAATTTTGAGGCGTCGTCATGAGTGCAGTCGTACAGTCAGGGTCCGAGGATCGGCAGCATGGAAGGGAGAAGGAAAAGGTTAATTCCAGGATACGGACTAAACTGACTACAGGATACAGACTACAGACTTCAAAGGAACAACAGGAATTTGAGAATAAATACACATAAAACAGGTATAGGGAAACATGCAAGAAGCCTCCGGCGTTTGATGTTAATGCAACTGAACAGTTCTGCACGTACACTTTCACATCAAAACAAGTGGCTGGAAGATTGGTGCGAAATATTCACATACGTTCATGAACATTTTTTGGAGACAAAAGGTTCACAAACGATAGAATGCGAACCACACGTGACGGTATTCTCCAGGTCGGAAATGCTGAAGCTGCAAGCAAGCCTCGTGCATATTGAATATTCAATTAAATCCGATGAATCACTAATAACAACAAATAATATTAGGAACAAGCGTGGAACTTTCTCCCGGCGTACAAACGCATGAAGTTTGAGAAGCATGCACGCGGAAGAAGGGTGACCAGCACAAGGGTTGCGAGACCATCATGTACTATAGAATCATATTAAAATAGTCAAAAGCTGTCAACATAGAGATGTGTTAATAATTAACTTATATTTGATTAATTATAGGCTATTGTACAAGAAATAAATAGAAGAAATGTTATTTAAAAGAGAAGTAATTTTATGAATTAAACTAAACAGTCATTAAAATAATAAAAATAATATGATATTAAGATTTATTTTCAGGAACAAACCGTTTTTCCGTCAACCTGAGTACTCATGACACCACATAACTGGAGGCCTGATGAGATCTTATTGAAGCTGCAGCATTCATCTCAAATTAGCAACGGCATTCATTACCTGACTTCCTTACTCTACCCAAGCTACGTTCGCGAATTTAATTAACGTGATATGCAAATATACTTTTCGGTATCAAAGCCAGTAGGTATTCTTAGCGCGCCGTACAGACACCGACCTCAATCAAACGCTTCCAAGATAAATCCAATTAGAATAACAGAAAAACATATGCTTAAATAGATTAGAAAAATAATTATTTGTCCACAATACAGGTGATTTACTCCAAACAGTTCAAACAGCTTCATTCAACTGTTACGAAACAACACGCTTCCTCAAACAGTTTCTTATAATAAATCACTCTGGGCAGTATCAACACACAGAGATCAGCAAGTCACCGGCATTATATTTTTAGAACGCACTTAGAACGCACTCTTGCTAAACCATCAATTTAAATCAATTTGCCAAACAAACAAATTAAAAACTTTAACTATACTCATATTCTCTTCATGGGCAATATTCTCTCGTATTCTCATATGATATATATTTCAATATAGGCCAGCAAATGGACGGTTGCTGTAAAGTATCATTGAAACAAAATATAAATGTTAATTAGAAACATATGTAGGTATGGGAAGTTACGTTAGCTGGAAAGTAAAATATGTATACTCATTTATATTTTCCACGGAGCGCTGCAGCATTGCAGTAAGTAGTTTAGTAGGTATATTAATAAATATGCAGTCTTTATTGAACTTACTGCATTCTTTTAATGAACTGATTGCGCCAAGTACGACCAATTAACAATTACAGGAAACTTAGAGTGAGATCGGTTAAATTACAAATCAGTGAAATCACACGCAGAAAAGTCGCCAATGTTAATTGTACAAACTCCATATATACAATTTTTGAATGAAGAAATGCTGTAGCATTTTTTCGATACCGCACTCATACTGTATAAAGTTAGGAGTTGAAATTACATCTGTTGGAAAGCGAACTCTAGCAGCTACGTACTAAGAAGACTTTGTCGGGTCGCGATGCGATCGTAAGGATTTTGAGAGGACTGAAGGGCTTCTAGGAGAGAACAAATGAAGAGAAACATGAGTTATTTTACAGGAAACAAGTCATTGACGATACTCATGAGTTTATCAGAGCGGTTCTATAATGTTCATACGCTAGGGTGTCTCATTATCTTGAATAATTCCAGAACTGATCACAAGCAAAATGTTCGTACATAAAATCTATAATGAAAAGTTATTGGCTTTTGACACCCGAGACTAAACGGAAAGAACCACCCATTTTCAAATTCTGGCATCAAGACTAAAATAATTTGATAGGTGAAGCAACATATACTAAATATCATGCACCACATCTATGAAATGACAAGCAGGGAACTACTCGTGAGGCCACACCGAATATGGCATCAAAATCGTTATAATATGAAAAAAATTCCCAATGCATCACATTTAGAAAAACTTCCGTGGTCCAGCGATCAATGTACATGTGCGCTGGACTTTATTCTCTTTACTCTCTTCTGCACCAAAAAGTTCTTTGATAAAATGCTTTCAATGTTCCACCGTTCGATGGTAAAAATTCTCCTGGAGTGTGCAGGTTTTTTGCAAAGCAGTCGACAAGAAGGGGATTACTATAGTAAAAAATAAAACTGTGGGAGAAATACAAAAATACTGGTGAAAAATAATCTGTGTTAAGATTTGAATAAGTTGGAGTTGTGAGGGAGCAAACTTTAAAGAGTTTGTGATCAAAGTGCAGTAGAAAGGGCCTATAATGAAGCAGTTCGTCTATTATGAACCGCAATCAATTAAATTCAAGTAGAGGCGATTGTGATGTGAAGATAAGCAATAAAGTTTACGCAATACCATAGGAAACGATGGAATGCGGACAAAGCCTGGCACATGTAGAGAAATGCAACTATAAAAAAAGTTAGGATGTGGTATTGGCTTGTACTATTGTGTTGAACATTGTAGGGTAGGTACAGGGTCTTATCTTACCGTGACCACGTGTCCTCGTGCCTCGTGCTACAGGTTGAAGTTCAAAAGGAATACATCAAAATCTAATTTTTGAGATAAAACCTTTCTTCCTGGTAACAGTTATGTTATTCTTAATATGATATAAAATACATTCGCGACAGCCAACCATTTCACATAAAATAAACACGGAAAGTTTGAAAATACAATATTCGAAACAAGACAAATTGATCAATTGCATGAAAGACTTATGGTTACGAAAAAAAGCTTGGCACTTTGCAATTTTGGCACAGAATACGGAGCTAAAAATTTCGCTTACATCAGGTTAATAAATTCGGGATAATAACGCTTTGAGGTGTTGAAGCAACTCAAAGCACCGACAGATTAACGATTTTATTACGGTTCACCCACGGGAGCACCGTATTAAAAACTCATGCTACGGTTTCGATGAGAATAGAATCTATCAATTCCACCACTCTGCACTTGAACCCGGTAGATTTATCACCCAATTTTTAATGAGAAAGTTTTTGCAAGTCGACCTTAGTATTAATCCTGAATTTGAAAAGATTTGATAATATATAGCTTGTAAGAGTCCCAACAGGTTTCATGAATATGTCATTCATACGGACAAAACGGGCATGAACAGCGCATAGCGAGCGTGTCATTTCCAACAAATGAAGAGGCATGCAACGTCATCCATTCATGCAAAACATGAACATTGATTATTCATTTATATTTTGAACATTAGATTTTGAAACCTGAGTTGTTCTGCGAAAATATTCGCGCACTTTAATTTATCTTGGTTATAATTAAAATCTCTTTTATGAACAAGTGTTTAATCTATTCAAATTTCTATTCCATTAATGGATTCATTCAATGAACTTCAAATTCCATCGAAATTCTGTAACCACTAAAATCAAATTCTGAAATAACGAAATTGATTGTTTGAGCCCACACTAGGTGTTTATACTAACAATTTCTACCACTGAAACAGGATTACTGAACTACTTAACAAGAACTGTAACTTCATCTATCACAGTTTATCCTTCATGTCCACGGTACATCACATCTAAGGGTAAGGGTTCGGGCACGGATGCCCTCAAGTGAGGGTAGCGTTAGTTCAAATAAAGCTGCCTAATTGAGGGCATCAGTGTGCGAAACTACAGTACACCCAAAACGCTATTAAGTTCGTCTAAACATAAATTTTAAGCCATTTAAAACATCAAAAATCTATTTAAAACATTCTATGGAAACCAGCATTATGCAAAAAAACTATTTCCAATGTTTCAAAATTGCAAGGGTAAAGATTCCTTTCCTGGAGGCAATCTTTCCAACGAAGGACACAAAACATTGTCCTATTTCTTCTCAACAAATACTATGGTCAATAATTTTATTTTTCTAAATGCAGTGTGTAGGATATATTTCGCTGGTAACCCTTGATTTTTGCATTGGCTAACTTCATCATCAATTTCCTTTTTCGCCACGAGTTTCGATTGATTTCATGATCATTTTTCATGAATAAAAAAATTTGCGAGCCGTGACACAATTTAAAAAATACCTAAAAAATTATCATGTATGGGAGAATGAATATTTAGCATAAATATTTGAAATATTTTGGCTTTAATACATATATCTAACTCAAGAAAACCGGCTTATTCATAGGAAGCTGGATTAAATGTGGTTACCGAGCTCCATCGTACATACTGCATCATTTTCAAAATCGGAACATCACATGCACCTTTAACTCTTTGCAATCTATGTCTAAATATCTTGTAAAACAACTATAATAGTAAAATACCTTCGAGGGTACTCCATTTCGTAAAAATCGTCCAAACAAATCTCAAGAACTAACAATGAAAAAACTGGCTAGTGGGGCGAGGTCATAAAAATGATTGCCTCTCCACTGTTTCGCTACGTAAAATTAATCCGATCTCAGAGTTAATTATAAAAATCCTAACTCAAAAGTCAGCTATTTACTAAAGAACCATTATAAAATTAATGCAGCAAAGAATATTTTTGTATAATTATGACTTTAATAAATATATATGCATTGTATAGTAGCAAAATACTAGAGCGGTCACCAAACTGATGACCTGTTCAACGTAATTATTTGCTTAATTCAGTCAAAGGATGGACGGACCAATATTTTCAAAAGTATTCTGGACACCGGTTTTAATTTTTATGGTATTTGATTTTCGTAAGTGAGGCAAAAGCTACAGGAAAAACTCCACAGAATGAATGAAATTAGCTAATAAGTAATCCAGCTTTATCATGTCACTGCGTGTATCGATTGAGTGCCGGAACCCAATATCAAACTTCAAGTTCTCATCTCGAGTTTCAATGCTTGATGAAACAATATGCTGACTCGTATCAACAGCTAAGCCCAAGTTCAACACTAAGAGATGTTTCAGCGCCTAATTTATCCCCGTTTCTTGTGCCGACGAAACAATAAATGAACTTGAACTCTCATCAGCTAAGCCCCCAACTTCAAGACAAAGTGATATTTTAGCGCCTAATTTATCCCTATTTCTAGAGCCGGCGAAACAATAAATGAACCTTGCAATCTAAACAACTAAGCCCAAGTTCAACACAAAGATTATGTTTCAGCGCCTAATTTATCCCCGTTTCTTGAGCGACGATTCAATAAATCAATATGTACTCTAATCAACTAAGCCCAAGTTCAACACAAAGTGATATTCCAGCGCCTAATCCCCGTTTCTTGAGCCGACGAAGCAACAAATGAAGTTGAACTCTCAACAGCTAAGCCCAAATTCAACACAAAGTCATATTTCAGCGCCTAATTTATCCCCGTTTCTTGAGCCGACGAAACAACAAATGAACTTGAACTCTCAACAGCTAAGCCCAAGTTCAACACTAAGAGATGTTTCAACGCCTAATTTACCCCCGTTTCTTGAGCCGACGAAACAATAAATGAACTTTGAACTCACCGCGACGTCGGCATAGACGCCGGTCCAGATGTGGGGGTGCTCTTGTCTGTACATGACGAGCGGTCTGGCGATCACGGGGATGTACTGCAGCACCTGCTCTCGTACCTCAGCCAGCGTGGACACGTGCACGAAATATCCTGGAACGTACAGCGCAATTAAAGTAGGAGTATGTGTGTTGGAATAAACTTTTAAACGACCGTGTTGATTTAAAATATTTCGCGAGCAACATGTACATTTTAATTGTATTTGGCAATGTAACCCGAATTAGCCTCCACTGCTGGAATTTGGATTGGTTGTGAAAATTTCTCAAAAGATCCCAGCCAAATTTACAAACGCTAAACGCACTCTTTTAGGATAATCGCATGAGCGTTAACTTCTAGTAGCCTCTTGCAGGTACCTATGTTGTCAGCTACTACTACTACCTACTAGCTATAAAGTAGCTATTACCAGCTATCAAGTAGCAGCTATAAAGTAGCTAGTAGCAGCTATGAAGCAGCTAGTAGCAGCTATAAAGTAACTAGTAGCCAGCGTTATCACACCTTTATTAGCGCATGCCATCCACAACAGGTTGCCGATGTCGGTGACTTCCCTGCCGATGAGGTACGTGAAGAGGCGCACTTGCCGCTGAGGCCAGTTGTACTCCTCGAAGATCTTGTAATGTTTGTACGGGGCGCCGTCCGTGATCAGCATGATCGCCTGGTTGCACTTAGCCCCAAGCCCGTGGTGGTTGTACTGTGCCGAAATAGTTTCTTGTGATTACGATATTTATTTATTTTGAGTTTAGCAATCGACTAGGATTGCTAAACTGACTAGGAAACTGATAAGAGCTGTGATAAATCTTATTGAACTTTGCAGTTGTGGTCAAGATGGTTACAGTGATGAATCAAACGAATGATAATCTAATATTGAATTGAAAACATATTGAATAAGTAATTGTTGAAGATTATACTATAACTTGATTTTCATGTGATAAATTATTCATGGAACTCTCTTTCATAGAAAATCAATCGCTTCGAAAAACGGGAATTTTAACAGAATAACATGGGACAATGCAAGCATTGAAAACCTTTTCAGGATTTACTTCGGATATATATAAAATGTTAAGCAATAAATGGTATACAAGTAAGTTGAAAAGTTTAATTGAACGTAACTGATAAACAATTAATAAACATATTTTGTGCGGGAACTTGAAAGGCGGTGCTGATATAAATTACGTATGAAAGATGCAATAGAACATCACAGGCTGGAGCCGACAAAAAAGCGATAATGGAAGGGAAAACAAGTGCTCGTAGTACTTTAATAAATTCATTTCATTGTTCCAGCATTAATTTCAGCATCATTCAGAGAATTTCAAATTTTCTGTGAACGCTAAATTAGACATCTAGTGAAGGCTAAATTTAACTGCAGTGGTCATAAAATATCTAGATATAACGCCGAAGTCATCTCTTTTTCGTTATTATCTGGGCCTATACTTTCAAAAAAAGTTAAGAGATCGTAAGTTCATTAGCCAATAATATTGACGGCCTTTCAAGCAAAATCCACCAATCATAGACAAGAAAATAGAGCGTAAGTACTTACGTTCACTTAGCGAGTTTTGAAAGTATGGCGCCAGGGCTACTAACATACGCATTTGCATAACATAACCGAAATTAATAGGTACATTGGACGAATTGTGAGCATCGCATCAACTGTTATCTATATATACTTTTGGCACAATTGAATAAATTTGTTGCTAAAAACCATTTAGAGTACCGCGCATGTTGTTCTACAATACAGCTGTACTCCATGCATGGTATATATGGGAACTGCCGCATGGGAGATCTCTTGTATATTATATTATATTATATTATATTATGTTATATTATATTATATTATATTATATTATATTATATTATATTATATTATATTATATCATATCATATTATATTATACACTTTTTGCGAAGCTCCCAATAATGTATAACAAATTGCGCACTACGCTTCCCTACAGACAAGTTCTGTATTTTTCAACGTGATAATTAAGAAATTAACTGGAAACGATGAAGTTTGAGGTTTACATGTTAACGCACTGCTTTGTACAAACGAGATGGTTTTGTTTTGTACCCTCATTGAATTGGTTTTCATACCAATTCGAAATTAAGTGAAAATAATTGAATAATTACATAACTAATTATTTACAATTAAGGATTAATAGATATTACGGTCGCGTTACTAAGGAAAATACGAGACATATGCGTTGTGATGAGCAATGAAATGTTTTTGCGGGCAGATTCTATAATAAGAAATTACAAATTTCTACATAACAAGTGACTTATTAGCTGTACAACAAATCATTTATTTACACTAACAGAAAATTTAAAATCATTCACCATTGTTTTCTAGAAAGCTGTTAATTTGGAAAATACGATACTCACCAATTAAGTTTATGATCACCGAATATGAAGCTATGTCCACTCTTATACGACAATTAAAAACAGTTGATTAGAAAATCTCTTATCAAGTCTACTTCTTCTATTTGTACTTTGGTCCAATTATTTCAACATATGCGTTAAGAATAAACGATAATGATTTTCTTGAGGACATTCATGCCACACCGCCATTATAATGTAAACGACAGGACATATATGCCATTCCGCATTTCTCGTAGAGTTTATACATGTTTAGCATTTTCGTTGAAGCAATTAACCTAGTGGATGTGAACTCAAGACAAGCAATCATCGCTGTTGGCACTGGCACAGGAATGTAATGGGAGGATGTACTCGTACTTATTCTTTGTGTTTCTGTACCTGAGAACAAGAACGCAGAGTACAAGAATCCTCTCCACTGAGTACCTGAGTACAAGAACACAGTACAAGAACCTCCTCCACTGAGTACCTGAGTACAAGAACGCAGTACAATTAAGAACCTTCTCCACTGAGGCCCTAGGTACAAGAACATCCTCCACTGAGAACCTAGAATCGACTCGAAAAATTTACCACGTGTCACTACGATGGCAGTCGCTTTAAAACCGTGCCTATAAATGAAAATTTTTCAAACATGTAAGCAGTAATTACAGCGTCTGTATATAAAGTGGGCTCGTATATGATGGTTATGGATATTCTAGTGCAGCAGGAGTTCACAGACTACACTACACGATGAGTGTGCTATTAAGTGCCGTAGGTCAAAGAGGAGGTGCATAAGTGCATGGTACAATGAAATTCACTGGCAATTGGACGCACGAGAAACACTTTCTGGATTCACGAGCGAATAAAACATAAAGGAAAAAATTACTCTAAGTGCTGGATTAGTAAATGAAAGTGCAATTAGTAAAATTTAGGACTTGAAATTTATACATGACTGTACGAAAATATGAACGATCACAACAATAAGACTCGCCTGCTGTTCTCGTGTGTCTCAGTTTACCGAAAATTCTTACCTTGTTATTGAACTGCAACGAAGAAAAAATTACGGTTAAAAATGTAGGGCGGGATATAAATAAAGTATATTTCACGAATAATGCTGGAAAAATTAAATTATTTGATAAATTTTGATAGTTGAACCTATTCCCTATGTAAAAAGGTAGCCATTTCGTTAGAAATGATAGAAGTAGATGGGGCATAATGTCGCCCACAGGTCATGGCCTAACTCAAATCTTTGCCTCCACCACAATCGAGGATCGCGTATCAGGAGCTGGCAGCAGTCTGGAGAATTTCACCTGGTTTCGTCAATTAAATCGCAAATTGTTACAAAAAAATTGCTAACGTTTCTGATAGTCCCATTCAGAGGTAATATTTATAAATAATTTGAGTCACTATAAAGATCACGTGTGTCAGTACATATGCGTCATTATATATGCTGGTGAATATTATTAATATTTTTTTCGCTTAACATGCAAAGGTTATTCTTCCTAAAAACGTGTAGTAGGAGGCTCAAGAATTTTCTTAGCTGGACTGATGGCTGCAAGTTCCAAAACGAAACCAATCAACGAAACCACCTATTTTATTTTAACCGTTTGAATGGATGGATTTGATAAATGGAAAACGATTTTCCATTTTAACAAACTTAATGAGACTACGAGTCCCTTATGACTGCAAATAAATTATTATTCGCAATGCAAGACTTTTCGAGCAAGAAATAGTTCTGAAAAGTTTTTTAATTTGATAAGCTTTATCAAATAGTTATTCGTAAAAAGAGTACCAAGATTGAGTTAATAAGCTTCTAGAGTTTCACGCTGAAATATTAAGATCCCACCAGCAAAACTCACTGAGACCAGAAGCTCGAAGGCTCGGGTGAGCGCCTGGCTGATGTTGGCGATCTGCTCTGTCTTGATCTTCGCAAGCTCCGTCTTGAATTGTCCGATGTTCTCCAGGTTTGCCTGAACATAAGAAGGAAAAATAACAACATCAAGCACTTACTTAAACCGAATTTAAATTGCTTAAAAAGACCAAAAAACAGGAATTTATAACTATTTGTTTAGTAGAATAATTCATGGAGGAAGTACAGCATTTATGAAGTACAAAAAGCCAATAAGTAAAACGTATCCTCTTACTAAACTTTTCGGCATCAATTGGAACAGCTCCATTATCAGTTCAAAGCTCAGCAAATATATAGTATTAAATTTAGAAGTGCCACATCAACACCAAAGAAATAAAAATCAAAGTACTGAATAAACAAACTATGGAACGTCAATTCACAAAATTAAGTATTTCTCTGTTGCTAATACTAGTATTCGTGAATTTTTTGTCGTTTGGTGGAGATGGTCTTCCTAACAATTTCATTGAGAACATGGTGAATTAACATGACGTTTTCATTGTTTTTAAACTATTTATTGAAAAAATATTGTGGGTCGAGTGGAAAATGCGGACAGCTGACCTGTACGAGCGTGTCATTGAAGCAGCCAACGAGCTCCCGCGTGGTCTCGCTGAAGGTGAAGATGTTGACGAAGTCGTTCTCGTTGAGGGTGTCAAGGATGTTGAGGACCACGTGCTTGGCGATCTCCTTACGCAAGCCCGTCATAGAACCTGCCACAGAATGCAAATTTCGTAACTTATCATATTTCTTCCAAATTTGTTAAATATGGTGTTCCGTAGAGATTTTTAAAACACCATGAAGAACGTCACAGTGAACATTTCATTATTTGCAATGTTCTGGTTCCACTTGTAATCATGTAGAGTAATGTAGAAGGCGCCTAGCTGTTCAACCATTACTTCTTCGTTTAGTGTCACTATTTTTTTCTGATAGCCATTCCATAAGATACGATTAAGCCGTGCATTCTCACCAGAATCCCCAAATTTGAGTTAATTTGCAGAAGATATATTCATCCTCACCGGATACGTTGAGGATGATCATGCCCCTTCTCACCGGATATGTCGAGCAGGATGATCATGCCCCTTCTCACCGGAAATATCGAGCAGGATGATCATGCCCCTTCTCACCGGAAATATCGAGCAGGATGATCAGGCCCCTTCTCACTAGAAATATCGAGCAGGATGATCATGCCCCTTCTCACTAGAAATATCGAGCAGGAAGATCATGCCCCTTCTCACTAGAAATATCGAGCAGGAAGATCAGGCCCTTCCTCACTAGAAATATCGAGCAGGATGATCAGGCCCTTCTCACCGGATATGTCGAGCAGGATGATCATGCCCCTTCTTACCGGATAAGTCGAGCAGGATGATCATGCCCCTTCTTACCGGATATGTCGAGCAGGATGATCATGTCCTTGGGGTTGTTGGCGGCCTGAATATACCAGGAGCGAAGACGGGCGTCGTACAGGTCAGGCTCGTCGCGGTCCATCTCCCAAGGGGAGGCTGCACAAAACGTTGTTGTTTGACTCAGAAGAATGAACCGAAGTGTCAAGTCTATAATCATTTGAAATAAAAATGCTTAGTGACTATCATTAAAGATATACAGTAACGGGCCAGATATAGGCCTCGTTTTGTGTACTAAGTTTGAAGCCGTCGCACTCCTCGAAAGACGACTGCAGAGAAAAATGTACTAGCAGAACTGTCTTCGGATGTAGTGTAACTCTAGTAGATAGCCACTTAATCATACCCATTGTTGTGCCCAGTACGTTTTTCGTCATCTGTTCCTTTTAAGTGTTATTGAATTTCGCGTTTTCAAGTAATTTGTGCAAATCTATAAATAAATATTCGCCTGACTTCGTCCCTAGTCTTTTCAATCTTCCACGAACCGTAGGGCCCGCTGGCAGAGTTCTCAAAATGTTTAGATGTAGAAGTTCCCGCTCCAGTTCATAACATAACATAGCATAGTGATGTCGGCGCTGAAGTGTAGGCCTGATGTGGCCTGTCGCCGATTCTTTTCCTTTTCGTGTCTTGTTCATAGATCTAAACTCGTGTCATTTGACCGGATATTTCATGACTGGCGATAGTTTGAAGTATTCGACGCAGGCAAAGGACGCACGGTCATAACCTACTATATACGGAATAACCTACTGTCAGTAGGTTATTCGACGGAATAACCTACTATATACGGAATAACCTACTGTCAGTAGGTTATTCGACGCAGGCAAAGTAATTTCCAATCATTTAGGGTACAAATGAATTTCCCTAGCTTAGAATATATTTTCTACTTGCATGCACCCAGCAAGCTTTGGAATGCGTTCAAAGGATCCTCGAATATTCCTTGATTTAAAGAAGTAAATTGCATAAATCAAATAGGATGTATGATAAAAAATGCAAAACAAAATAAAATGTTGGAAATCGTCGGAAATCTTGGCCTTCCTTAAAGTATTTATTTATTTCTCTATTCTCTTGAAGAAAGAGTAATTATTGGCCAAATTTATTAATTAATTACCAAAAAATTATTAAAAACAGTTCTCAGGTTCAAATTATTTAACCAAAGCTCCAAACAAAAAACTTCCGCTGCATTCGAATTATAATTGCAGTATGATTGAAAAAGTCATACGTTGATAAGCGATACTTTATCGGGGAGGCGGGGAGTACAAATTCAATTTGTGAGACAATCATTGCATTAAATGATGAAATGATAACAAATAAAATGAAATGATAGTCTCAACTGCTGAGACTATCATTTCATTAGTTCCTGTAGGACTACCGTTTCTTTATATCTTGACTACTGTTTCATTAGATCCTGACTACTGTTTCATTAGATCCTGACTACTGTTTCATTAGATCCTGAATACTGTTTCATTAGATCCTGACTACTGTTTCTTTAGATCCTGACTACTGTTTCATTAGATATTGTAAACAAAATATAAGTGATAAACTCACCAGGATATTGGCGCAGGAATCCCACGGAGCTGCCGAAGTACTGCCAGTGCAGCGTGGGGTCGACGTCGTAGTTTGAACTGAACGTTCGGTCCAGGGTTTCGGACCAGCGGATGGCGTTCAGAATTTTAGGGCCTGCCCGAATATGACATTGTCAGTGAAAACGGTACGAATGCAGTCATAACAAATGAGCAAATAAAACAAAAGCTACAACTTTGCAAATAAATCAATGTTCAATATATTTTTAATCATCAATGAAGTTCATCAATGCATTCCTAGTATATTTAACGATGTATTCTAAATACTTCACTCCAATTAATGTTACGGTGTAAGGGGTCGCAATCAAACATATCACTATAATATCAGTTAGCCTGCACACAAGTAAATTAAGCAACCCATAAGTGTTAGACAATATTATTATCGGTATAATTATTGTTCAGGAACATATTTAACTCACTCCTGTCATAGACGTTGGTGGGGACGTGTATGGACGACAGCGACGTGTTGATGAGGAGGTCGTCGAAGTGTTTACTGCTGGAAAGCTCCACGACCATGCCGCCCTCCACCAGCTTACCCGCCTTGTCGCGCTCCTGGAAAATATTACTCAGTCAACGCGTGTAGATTATTTATTTTTATTATTTCTTCTCAAGCTGTTTGTTTGAGAAGAAATATTGTACAGCTTACCCTGCACTTGTACAGCTTACCTTGTACTTGTACAGCTTACCTTGTACTTGTACAGCTTACCACTTGTACAGCTTACCTTGTACTTGTACAGCTTACCTTGTACTTGTACAGCTTACCTTGTATAAGTAGGGTAGTGTATAAAGCTCAACCTGATAGTCTTGCCAAAAAAAAAGGATTTTACAGATTACAAATAAAATATAATATAATAAACTAAATCATATCTCTTGTCTCATCCGTGGGGCGAGCCTCTCGGTGTAAGAAGCTTTGGTGAATGCAAGCCTACTACTCGATTGATGTTCGAATTCTTGAATGAAACAATGGAAATAAAATGTTTTTCATATTTCAAGAAATTTCCCGATGTGAGCAATAAAAAGTTTCTGAAATTTGAGGTAGTTAACTTTCAGTCGTCCAATAGCATAAATTATTATTATATCTTCGTTACTTACAGTGGACATCAGAAGTCATCATTACAATTTTTAATTTGAAACTCTTGTCTCTACCAGTGTTTTAATTTTGCTATCCTTGCTTTTAAATCTTAATTCTACATATATACGGTCCAAATAAATCTGTGTACCTTCACTTTCACTTGTTTATTAGCCTGAGCTTGTACATGTGAGCAATGAAATAATATTAATCGTTATAGGTAATTTGGTCAACAAGTGCCGATTCAGCATTTTATATGTTTTGATTTCTATTTTGAATTATTACTTTCGTATAATTTGCGTTATTTTAGTAACTTCCATTGCAAACATGTTCCAGTGTGCGATTCCTTTGTCCCTAAAGTCGTTAGTGCGATTATGACGCTTAGCATTCGCACAAGGAAATAATAAATAAAAATACTGAATGATAATCTGGGAATCATCTTATGAGTGGGTGTTCTCTTCGAGCGACTTTCATCTTTGAAAATTAATTGCTTTAAGAACTATGTGCTTAAGAAATGTAGGTCCTTCCACAACATTTTCCTCATGCAAAATTGCCATAAATTGATGTAAACTATTTCTATCAAATTTCAAAAATAGTGGCTGAACTTGCTATTATGTCTACTATACGTACTTTAAAATCCTTGGGGTAATATTTGTTCATCTTCTTTGCATTGGCGTAGACGAGATCAGCGTTGTTTCCTCGGTCCTCTTCCTGCTTCGAGGCCCAGTCCTTATATGACTCTTCCGCCACGTTCATGATGCGCTGTAAACAACACGACCAATTAATATATACGACCACTCCTCCGCCACGTTCATGATGCGCTGTAAACAACACGACCAATTAATATATACGACCACTCCTCCACCACGTTCATGATGCGCTGTAAACAACACTACAATTAATATATACGACCACTCCTCCGCCACGTTCATGATGCGCTGTAAACAACACGTATAATTAATATATACGACCACTCTTCAATTTTAACTTCTAATTATTCACCACCCACCGAAGAGATCGTCGTATGTGCCGTGGAAGGATGCGTACCTCACGTTAAACGACGAGATCATTTCCCGCAGCTCCGTTACTACCCAAACTATATCTCTTTAAAATCTAGATTTCAGAAAAGATCTAGAAATCTAGATCTATTTTAGATCTTAGATCTATTAAAATCTAGATCTCTCTCTAGGTTTCAAATGCCCTTCACAGCCTGTGGGTAGCTCGTAATATATTAATAATATACACATAAGAAAAATGTAATTATTAGAGGGATAAATATTCACAGTGCTCACTATCTTACTCACCTTAACAGCCTGCAGCTTGTGTCCCATCATGTTACTCATGTCCTGGCTCATCTCCTTCACCAGTTGGGCTCCATCTATTTTCGTCACCGAAGGATTATTCGCGTTGAACCTCTGTAAGACATCAAGAAAAATGTCCAAGACTGCAATAAACGATTTTAACTGCTACCAGAATTTATAATCCACGACATAGTTCTTCCTCGAGAGAATTCCCTAAAAATGAATTTTTCTCTGTTCTAAAATTTCTTGTCTTCAATGACAGCAAATTTGTTTGCAGAGTTGCGCTTGTTGTTCAAAATGCACAAAGTTTGGCAGAAATCACAGCGAAATCGAATATAGTGTTCACAATGACGTGAACCAAGAATAGTTTCAATTGCTCATCCGAAGTATTTCGAGGCGTTGCTTGCTTAAATAAAAAATCCATCGCCTGGGGCCAGGTTCTTCTATGCAGTTCGCAATGGTTCTCCGAGCAAGTTTTCCATCACTACTGCATTACGCAGCTAATCACACTGCAATGATGCTTGCAAGCAGCCTGCACGGGCGTAAGATGCGCAGCGTTATGGAGATAATTCGCGCTATGTTCGTCTCATTACGCGTCATGAGCGCAAGATGTCGTTGTCGGCCGCTGTCGAGCACCGTGCGCCGTAAAGGCTTCCTTTATGGACCCTTAGCGCTGCCACGCAGCCTGCGTCGTGCGTCCTACGATGTGCATGTGTTTGGTGTGGAGTATTGGCGTCGTGTTGGGTGAGTGTTAGGGGGGAGTATTGTGGAGTATTGGTGTCGTGTAAGTTGAGTGTTAGGGAGGAGTATTGTGGAGTGTTGGTGTCGTGTAGGTTGAGTGTTAGGGGTGAGTATTGTGGAGTATTGGTGTCTTGTTGGGTGAGTGTTAGGGGTGAGTATTGTGGAGTATTGGTGTCGTGTAGGTTGAGTGTTAGGGGAGAGTATTGTGGAGTATTGGCGTCGTGTAGGTTGAGTGTTAGGGGTGAGTATTGTGGAGTATTGGTGTCGTGTAGGCTGAGTGTTAGGGGTGAGTATTGTGGAGTATTGGCGTCGTGTAGGTTGAGTGTTAGGAGTGAGTATTGTGGAGTATTGGCGTGATATTGATCGTGCGATGCGGACATGAGTTGCGGATAATTAGGACGGTGCAGATTGAATGTTGTACATGAATATTTTATAAACGAGTATTGAGCGGTGAACTGCCTTGCGAAGTGTTTAATCGGTTTGGACGTGTATCGCCATGTGTAGATGTGTAGATAAATCCTGTATATTGGAGACGTGATTCGTTGTTTCATAAAATTCAGCTAAAATATGAGTTTACCCTTCAGTGGTGCGCGTAAAAAAACGACCACCTTCCAGTCTTTTTCTGGTTGGTTTTGGTAAAGTATTTAATATGTATGGATTAACACTGTAAAGTCAATGAAAAAAGTATCTTTTTGAACGACACTAAACGCCCACGCGTTCTCATTCACTGAGACTACATTAAACGCCCACGCGTTCTCATCCACTAAGACGACACTAAACGCCCACGCGTTCTCATCCACTAAGACGATACTAAACGCTCACGCGTTTTCATCATTTGAAGCGACACTAAACGCCCACGCGTTCTCTTCCATTGAAGCGAAACTAAACGCCCACGCGTTCTCATCCATTGAAGCGACACTAAACGCCCACGCGTTCTCATCCATTGAAGCGACACTAAACGCCCTCGCGTTCTCATCCATTGAAGCGATACTAAACGCCCTCGCGTTCTCATCCATTTGAACGATGCTAAACGCCCTCGCGTTCTCATCCATTGCATGGACACTAAACTCAAAATTCGTCTGCAATTCAGCGATCGCAGACCATAGCAGCTGCCTTCTAATAGCACAGCTTCGGTCTGAGAGAGCTTGTACTCTTTCCAGCAGCCTGCTCTCTTTTCCAGCCGCCTATACTCTCTTTTCCAGCCGCCTGCTCTCTTTCCCATCAACCTGCTCTCTCACGATGAGCGGCTGCTCTCTTCCACCCAAGTTCTTGAGACATGACTTAAGAGCCGCTGTGTCTGACGTGTTAAGCTCGGCCGTAGCTATCATACGTAACCGAGTGAAGCTAAAGCTGTTAACTTACATCACCCGAGTTACGAGGTATAAACACAACCTTAAATCACAAACGATAACATAACTCAATGGGAAAACTGGGTTTTGTTAGCAAGATAGAACAATATTGCTGATTACTTAAGACATGGAAAAATTAAAAATTGTTGCCTAGTTAAATAATTGTCACAGATTATGTAATATTTACTAAATATTATTTCCGCTAACAAGGATAATATTCAAATTTGCAAGCAAATATCAAATTCGACAGCATCATGCATCACTCGCACCCAGCGACAGCCCTTATATGTATCGCTGCAACAAAAAGAGCAGCAACATCACGTATCATTCATATCCAACAACAGCAACATCAATCATGACACGAACGCCACAGCATCATATATATTTTGATGCAGTGCAGAAAGTTTAGCAAATTCTGTAAATATTAGAGTTCAGAATTAAACATGTCCACCGTGAACAATCCTGAGGTTGTTGTTTGATGGATCTGTTAGCAGCAAAGATAATTTATTGGTAATTGGTTTGTAATAACCAATTCTAGAAGATTCAAGCAGATAAACACTTCATCGTCCTTGAAAAAAAATTGATCGACGTTGGCCTAAATTGCTAAATTTTTCGACGACTTCAAAGCTAAACTCCTATCTCAAAATACGGATTGAAAAGTGATCGCCTTCATCACATGGAAGCGGAGGATATGGCTTTAAGTCGTCCCGCCCTGGATTCAACTGGAAGCCATCAATGGTCATATATGACCGCTATTTAATGGTCAAATATAACCACTAATGGCTATGGTCGCATCAATCTGTGAATGCGAAATTATTTTCTGCTAATGAAGGCCAGTGGCAGTCACTCTGATATGTGCCTCCATGTGCATCATATTTCGCACAGTCCAAAGTACGTATGCATACCGGGACTGTAGCACGATCATTTCGAAGAATACTAACGAAGTGTTATTCAAACAATGTATGAAAAATGTTTTTATATAGATATATAATATTAAGGTTTAACTAGTTTGTCACGTTTTATGCTATAAAAATTAATAATCATAATGATACTATTTTGTCTGGGTCAAACCTGCCATCGGTATAGTCAGCGATTTTCACTTGAAAATTATATCGTTTCTATAGCTTTTTTATTCATCGGCAAGATAAAACTTCAAGGATTTTATCATTACGCAACGAATAATAAAATGCGCCAAGTTAATGCTTACGCGTAAAGAATTACAAATAACGATGACGCTTTTAATTAAACCCTTCATCTTCTGATTATTCTGTGGTGTTGTTACGTAGATACAGATGACGCTAGTTCCGTTTTTTTGATGACAGCGGAAACGTCCGACGTTTTTGACCCTGCAGCAATGGTCGTTCATCAAATCATACAAACAGCGGTATTGCTTTTTGCTTTAAATTAGTCATTATAAAATTATTCATTATAGGAATGACCTCGTGTTGGTATTCATTTTGAATTTAATTAAACGATAATCATTCCTTGACTCAATCTGACATCTGTTATTTGGCCAGAAGTAAAATTTCAGTACAAATTTCTGTTAAAATATTCAATATTCTGCAATCCCTCTTTTTCCTTATCGTTCAAGTTGTTCCGAGGAACATGATTGTTACAAACGCCATAATGAATTGTAATTTTTCATTTATTGTAGTGAACTTATATGGTGCTAATACCAGACATATTTTGTATTGATGAATACTTTTGGCATAAAGCTTCATAAACGCGAACATTGTTCTCAATTAAAATGTAGGTGATGGTTACTAAGCATGTCAAAAAAAGCCTCATTTGAAATCACCCTAAAAAAATTGAGCCTCGGGCCATTCAAAAGTGATCCGTTCTTGGGGGCCACTTCCACGTCGCTTGTGGGGTCATGACGAGGATCCTTTAAGATGAGGATCCTTGCCGAGTCATGACGAGGATCCTTTAAGACGAGGATCCTTTAAGATGAGGATCCTTGCCGGGTCATGACGAGGATCCTTTAAGACGAGGATCCTTTAAGATGAGGGGACTTGCCGAGTCATGACGAGGATCCTACAAGACGAGGATCCTTTAAGACGAGGATCCTTTAAGATGAGGATTCTTGCCGGGTCATGACGAGAATCCTTTAAGACGAGGATCCTTGCGGGGTCATGACGAGGATCCTTTAAGACGAGGATCCTTTAAGATGAGGATCCTTGCCGGGTCATGACGAGGATCCTTAAAGACGAGGATCCTTTATGACGAGGATCTTTTAAGACGAGGATCCTTTAAGACGAGGATCCTTTAAGACAAGGATCTTTGCCGGGTCATGACGAGGATCCTTTAAGACGAGGATCCTTTAAGATGAGGATTCTTGCCGGGTCATGACGAGGATTCTTTAAGACGAGGATCCTTCAAGACGAGGATCCTTGCGGGGTCATGACGAGGATCCTTTAAGACGAGGATCCTTTAAGATGAGGGGACTTGCCGAGTCATGACGAGGATCCTACAAGACGAGGATCCTACAAGACGAGGATCCTTTAAGACGAGGATCCTTGCGGGGTCATGACGAGGATCCTTTAAGACGAGGATCCTTTAAGACGAGGATCCTTTATGACGAGGATCCCTGCGGGGTCAGGACGAGGATCCTTTAAGATTGACCACAAAAGAGGGGCATGGCGGCGCCAGCTGTGCAGCTCCATCTGTCATTCCACGCACCAAATCTGCTATGAATTATTCAGAGCAGTTCGCGTGGTGGCCGTGTCATTAGTAGGCGAGGGTTTCCTATATAGGTGCTGCGACCAGTACGTAGGTATGGATACGTTGCGTTCCGACGTCTTGAATGACACTGATGTTGCGTTCCGACGTCTAATGTTGCGTTCCGACGGCTGTTGCGTTCCGACGTCTTAAATTGAAAGATGTTGCGTTCCGACGTCTTGAATAACACTGTCATCATTAAATGGGTTTTGGAGTTATTTAGATTGCATTAAACATTATTGTTTCAGGTTGCTGAAAATATCCATCCATATGCGACATATTACTTTTCTCAGTGCTGGTCTAATGTTCTCTTGTGCAGCTCACATAGCCTCACGTAAATTAATTGAATCCGGACTAATAGTACACTTGTCTTTTCCATGCATCAGACGCGTTCACAGGGATTCCTCCAGTCTTACGAAGCCTAATTAGTTATGACGAAAAGTTTGGACCCGCAATGGAACTCGTTTATTGTTGATAAGTCGACAAATTCAAAATCCCAACTTCAAATTTCGGCTCACGCTGACCAGATATTGTATTTTTTTAATTGCCGACCAAATAATAACTGCTTCTCGGGATAATTTCTCGTCAGCTCCTGATGCCGGAGTTAACACAACGTGGCACCGTATCTCCGTAGAGTTAATACTCTCTATGTTGATTTAACGGGTAATTAAAAAAAAAACACTCAGGAACATGAGTGGTGGCAAATTGAGTGAATGCACTTGCAAATGTATTAGATCATAACTCGTAATTTGTATTGAATGAGTCATCTTGTGAGATATCCGTATTGTTTGGTTACCATGTACATACCATGTACATTGCTTGGATACCATGTATATACATGTAGTTATTATTCGTTTTTTTTTTGAAAACGAATAATAAGTGCATGATTGATTCCAAACAATACGGATATCTCACAAGATGACTCATTCAATACAAATTACGAGTTATGATCTAATACATTTGCAAGTGCATTCACTCAATTTGCCACTACTCATGTTCCTGAGTGTTTTTTTTAATTACCCGTTAAATCAACATAGAGAGTATTAACTCTACGGAGATACGGTGCCACGTTGTGTTAACTCCGGCATCCTGAGCATCGGCTAACGAAGAACAACAACTCCAAAACGAAGCTCAAGTAGCACATCGATGACTATTTTTTAACTTGAGCTTTTTATTTACGCACGAAATTTTTCGTGTTTCACATTCTTTGTATTATCAAGTGCTCTTTGTGCATTGCTGTGTGATCTGTTGTATTAAGAACGCACGCGAAGCAACATACTCATGGCATTTCAATATTCTTGTTCATGATACATGAAATCTCATCCATTCACATGATTAGTATTTCTTTAAGATGACTTAACTGCTCATATTAAATAAAAGATAAGCAATAGTAAATTTAAATTTCAGATATTCAAGATGTACAACCACGGACATCGCAGAAGCTGAGAACCAATAGTGAAAATCATACAAAAAGAAAAAAAAATCCTAACCACGGCGACCGAAAATTGATATGAAAATAAACTGCTCAAGCACACAGACAACTTACCTGGTGAATGACTGAAAATTTAGTCACGGTGTCCACTAGCGTCGACAGATGGTTGCCCATTGCCGTCGCCCAGGTTTTAATTCTGCAAAATAAATGTCTTAGATTAGAATTGTGGACCTTGCTTATGCATTAATGAAGGAAAAGTATTGCATGCTAATATTTATTTAACTCACACGTGGGTCGTGCAAGTCATTCTGTCAATAATACTCGTCAGAGTAAGAAAAAAGAAACCATCATTTCAATATAACGACATTGTCAAGTCAATAACCGTGATTCAGAATTCGTTGCATCAAATATTTTACCACATTCTCCGTAACACAAATTCTCGAATTTCGAGTTGAGCTCCAAGTTGAATTTCGTGTTGAATAATTGATGGTGTGTGTATTCCATATTTATCATGAGTGTATTTTTATTTTCTGTAGTAAACTGAATTAATTTATGCCTGCATCACTCGATGATTTATTCTGTTTGTAGTATATTATTAATACAAAAGAGCACGAGTATGAAATTTTATTTATGAACTAATACTGGTCTTCATTTATTGCACTCTTCTCTTGAAGCCACAAACATATTTTCATCTGCGCGGCTCAGAACGCCAAGGCACTGTGGGAAACTCGTCTAATTTTCTCAAACAATGAATATATTAAAAAAAATGCCACCATTAGATGATATCATAGTGTCGGTTAATAGGAAGTTTTTGATATTGCAAGTTACTTGATGTCATACATCGTATATGATATCGTCCGATGAGTGGTAATAATGGCTTCTGATACCTAGAAGTGCTCCAAATTATTATTTATTTTCTGAAGATAAAACACCATTCATGTTTTTATTCAGACTAAAATTACAAGAAAAATCTCTTCCATTTTCCCTAACGAATTAGAAAACGTTGTCTCGGAAGTATAAGAGATTAGTACTTCGATAACAATTCAAGTATTCAAGTAAAATTCAGTAACGTAAATGGAAACATTTCTAATTCTCCTTTTTTAATTTCAGTTATTAATCATTGCAATCTCAATCATGGGAGCTAACATTGCGGGTTTAACAATAATCGTGAATGTTTCCGACAAAATATCAAAATTCGGGCGAAGTACCGTGTTACAGAACAATGTTCGCGCGCTCGCCTAGAATTAATCGAGAATGTGCCCCGGCAGCAGAGTGTTTGTGGGGAAGATTTGCATTTAGTTCAGCGGTCACAACAGCAAATGTCCCGAGCCGATGTTATGGAAGTTAATTAGTAATTAGAGTCACCGATGAGCCACTGATGAGGTGCAATGAGGGCCCTCGGCATGCATGTCCAGTGCAGGTAAATTGATGCTCGAGTTTTTTTTATCCTCATACCTTTTTTATACTTTTGCAATGTGTTGTTAATGGTAAATTGAAATTCGAGTAGTTGCATTTTTTTCTCCTGATTCATTTTTTTATACTCTTGCAACATGTCGTTAATGCTAAAATTCATCAACATGCAACGCTTAAATGTAGAGCCTACATAATAATGTATATACTGAACATTAAAGGCGTGTTTCATTCACGGGTCAATGTACAGCGCCAGCAGCGGTGGTGCGTTACGATGTTGTGGGTTTTCCCGTGCGGCGAATCTGGGATTTGTTTTTGTTTTAATTTCTTAAATTCCTCCAAAAATTGGGCCAGTCATAAATTTTCTTCTTTTTGAATATAATTTCTACTGGCGAACACCTCTTAATTTCGATATACAGTACTAACTAAACATCCACGACTAAAGCGACATCTTGCAGCTGTCATACCCAATATCGTAATAAACAACCAAGGTTGCCAGACTGTCTTTTTTCCGGACAAATTCCGCGACTTAGTTTTTTTTTCAATTGCGTTGGCCGGTTGAAATATATGATAGGGGTAGTTTCTAATTAAATTTTAAAACCTGCAAAAAAAAAAGAAATAGAATTTTTACACCGGAACCTACTAATATACTAGTATTGTTGGGGATTATTCAATAAATGAGCATTCTAACCCCAAACACTTGGCCAATGATCGCAATTAAAGGATGAAGAAAAACTGATGAATTAAGAAATATAATAATAAATGAACGATAAATACAAGAAAACAAAACTATGAAAACTATAAACCGTGTGTCTAGCAAGCTTTCACATTCAACTCGTAAGAACGTCCTAAGTTCGGAGCCGAGCTGAAAAAACACAAATAAATACAAATTAAGGACTTGAATTAACGGAACTCTAACAAATGAATATAACACAAATAAAAACTAATATAAATAATAATATTAAATATAACCAAATAATCCACCACTATGTCAACACGAAGATCAACACGATAAATAATGCAAGTACTAACCTCTGTGGNTTCAAAAAAAGTTAAGAGATCGTAAGTTCATCAGCCAATCATTGACGGCCTTTCAAGCAAAATCCACCAATCATAGACAAGAAAATAGAGCGTAAGTACTTAGGTACACTTCGCGAGTTTTGAAAGTATGGCCCCAGGTCTAGATAATCCACGTGAACTGGCTTTTTGTAACGTCCGTCGATCTTGACACGCTTTAGCACGAGGCCGTCTGTAATTAGGGCATTCACGGAGGAATTGTGTTCCTGGGGCCATACTTCCAAAACTCGCTAAGTGAACGTAAGTACTTATACTCTATTTTCTTGTCTATGATTGGTGGATTTTGCTTGAAAGGCCGTCAATGATTGGCTGATGAACTTACAATCTCTTAACTTTTTTTTGAAAGTATAGGCCCTGAACCACAAGTGAAGCACTGTTTTAACAGAACCCGACACTTGCGACTCTCATGACCGGCGCGTTGACAGAATTCACAATCGCTTTGGCGATTTAGCCCCATGGGATGGTGCAGAGTCCTGCAGGAACGACCTGGGACGTTTTTTGAAGTGCTTTCGTGCCCAGGGCAGTAATGCACCAACAAGGATGGCATCTCGATAGTTCTTCTGATTCAATTTCACACCTTTGTCAACAAAAAAGAGGGGACTCCTTGAGGACTCTGTTACGGCTGCCCAGACCATCACTGAGGTCGGGCATTGCTTCCTAGTCACCACACGGGATCCTTCGTCCCCGTTCTTCGACCAAATTCGATCATTTTGGGAGTTGAAGTGGTGTTCAACACTGAATATCTTCTCATCACTGAAAAAGAGGTTTGGCAGCGTGCCATCATGAATGCGGGAAAGAAGAATCTTGGATCTATGGAGGCGTTTGTCAACAACTTGAGCAGACAGTTGGCGTTTTTTGACATGCTTGAATGGGGACAACTTTAGGTCCTTCCGGAGAACAGTCGACATGGTTCCATACGACACATTTGACTGTTTTGCGAGTGTATTGATTTTGGAAAAACAATGTAACGCTAAATATTGATGACCATGTATATTATATAGTATACATGTATAGTAATATTATGTTATAATAATATAGTATATAATATGTATAATATATAATGTAACCCCAGTTATAACGCTGGGCAGGGAGAAGCTGAGTCTGGTCTACATGCTGGCGAGCTGGAACCTGCTGGGCTACCTGGTCTATAAGTATGTCACCAGCGACCACAAGGGGGGTCTGAGTGGCGGTGAGTGGTCTAAAAATAATAAATAAATAAAAAATGAAATAAAAAAATAATAATAAATAAATTGATAAAAGTTATCATCAAGTATCAATTAAGTAAAACACAGAACAAAAATAAAATAACGTAATAGTAACTCAAAAACAAAATGACAAAAACGTAACCTAACTATCGATAAAATTATTATATTTACAGGCGGTCCCTAACAGTATATATTGAGTTATAGGCCTTTTTTGTTCGCGGAATTGGCCGTTTTTTAGGCCATCTGGCAACCCTGTAAACAATATAGAATGTATACTCAATTTTATGCCTGCAATCAACGTTCGTAAGCACACGTATAGTGGCGTAAGTTTACGTGGCGGCATATATACTCGTAGCGGCCGATGTCTCGTCTGTGATTGTTAGTTGCGCTTGAAATACCGTCATTGATTGGGCAACGAAGTTATGAAGTATTAACAATATTTGACAGCACTGCCACAGTTCCTCATTCTTGTTCACGTTGAGCGCGTTGCACGTTGTAGTGCGTAAAAGATGACTATAACAACGCTGCTATTAATCTCTACACAAGTCTGCCAAACTTAATTAAATTTGGTGACCAATGAAATTAAAAGTTATCAAATTAAATGCTCAAGAATAGACAGGAAAGTGATGCCCGTTGATAACATCAGTCCCACAAATGGTTAACTCAGCTTGCTCTGTATAATGGATCAGGCAATTCAGTGCTATTAAGCTCAAGAGAGCATCAACTGACGAGGTTTATAACAGCGATTCGAAAATAAGTACTGTTTTGGTATATATTTTCAATGATATATCATATTCAAGCGTTATATTGTACGACGATTGATTTGACAATCTGCACTTTATGATCGAATGAAGGAACAATTATGGACAGCGAACACAATTCATTCAATTAAGGTACTGAGCACTAATGATTTTGCAAAAGGTTTAAGAAATTTACACAAACGTAATTGAAAATCGATATTACTCAGATATTTTTAGCATTTATTTATACTCAATGATTCAAATAAATTAAAATACATGTAAACTCAAATAAATCTCTTCTAATGTGTCAAGCTTTCCAGAAAATTCCACTAAGCTCCCACCAGCTGGGATGTCTTCGAATACTTTTGGGACTTGAAGGATTCATAGTTCAACAGAAACATGCAATGTACGATCAATTCAATAGTTCTTCAATTAATCTAAACCCACTGTTTCAGAGAACCTGCAAACCTTCTGCAGCATTGCCGTCGCTCATATTACGGTCGGCCCATAACTATAAAGGCAATAACACAAGACATTGTAGCAACCATCCTGCCGGCAATGGTGTTATAAATAGGGTCGTGAGGGTGCAGATAAGGAGAGGGACTGGCCAGATAAGGATGGGGACTGGGCAGATAAGGAGACCACGGGTGGACGTGAGAAATGTCCACTGTGCGGTAGACGCAGTGACATGAGAGAGTGTGGCATCCAAAGATGATGTCTACTGTGCGGTAGAAGCAGTGACATGAGAGAGGGTGGCATCCAAAGATGATGTCTACTGTGCGGTAGAAGCAGTGACATGAGAGAGGGTGGCATCCAAAGATGATGTCTACTGTGCGGTAGACGCAGTGACATGAGAGAGAGGCATCCAAAGATGATGTCTACTGTGCGGTAGAAGCAGTGACATGATAAAGTTGGCATCTTACGATGACATATGAATGATTGCCCGATGTACAGCGTTAGGAACCAATTGAAAGTATGTAAAATTTCATTCGACGAAATTCTTCGAAACTCGAATAAAAGACAGCCTAGCTTATATGGAATCGGGATACTTTAATTCGCTTTCTTAGAAAATTATATAATTGATAAGAAAAATGTCCATGTACACAGAGCATTCATCAGTTTTTATGAAACATCCGCGTATAAGGAGCAGCAACAGCTCGAAAATCATCTAACTTTAATGAACAAAGTATTTTATATCGGTAAAAAAAGAATGTAGGCCTGGCAAATTGCCAACGTGCAGCCAAAGGAAGAATGTGTTGCTGAGAGCAACGACTGCAACGCCAATAACAATTACATTATCCAAATTAAAATATTTTAAAGAAATCAACTCTGGCAAAATGTTGTTAAAAGATAATTGTATTGAATAAAAATTCACCTATTCCGGAAATGAAGTGATAACAAATGTTAAAATAATCTTAATTTGCAATAAAGGAGTTCAGAAGTTCGAATAATATTTATAATATTACAACGAGGAAACACTACATTTTCAAAATCTCCTCTGTAGCAACATCTGAGAATGGTGAACAGATCGAATGTTTTTATGCCTGAACTGCGGACTCGACGGCAACGGCGGCAACTGCATTACGCAGGCAACGGGCAGCGATTGCTGAAACGTTAGCGCAATTTCGGCTAATTTCTACAAAGAAGTGAACCACTTAAATTTGGTATAAAGCTGGGGAACTAGAGAAAAAATCTTGAAAGAAGTGGGCAGAAAATTCTCTAATCAACAAAACTGATGGTAGGTTTAATATTTTTGAGACGCAAAAGCACAATTTAATAGAAGACAATATTAGAATATTTTTGTTCAAAATTCAATAACTTATGCAACCCAAGGCCAAAAACAATTAATAGTCCCTTTAGCATCTCAGTAATGATGATAACCACCTAATCATTGTGAAAAATTATAATCATTACCAAAGAATCGTAAAAAATGACGCTGACATTCCACTCGCTGATTATAAACATTAATCATCTCATTAAACGACAGTGATCTGCTATGAAACCCACAAATGATATAGCAGACACTAATGTATGTGTACAACGAGAACTCCGAACGATACACAAACGCTCCCCAAACACTACCCAAAAGCTGCACAAACGCTACACAAACGAAATACAAACGCTATAATAACGCTTCACAAATACAAAACAAACGCTTCAAAAACGCTACACAAACGCTACACAAACGCTTCAAAAACGCTACACAAATGCTACAGAAACGCTTCAAAAACGCTACACAAACGCAACACAAACGCTTCAAAAACGCTATACAAATGCTACACAAACGCTTCAAAAACGCTACACAAACGGTACACAAACGCTACACAAACGCTTCAAAAACGCTACAAAATGCTTCAAAAACGCTACACAAACGCTACACAAACGTTACACAAACAAACGCTACACAAACGCTACACAAACGCTTCAAAAACGCTACACAAACACTATTCAAACGCTACACAAACACTCACTCTTGATGTGGCATGTCCTCGGACGTCTCAGCAGAGTAGGTGGCTCTGCACGGCGCGATCACCAACATCAGCACCAACATAACACGCCACAAGCAACTGAGGCTTGTGTTGCTCCGGTGTAGCGTCTCACAAAACCATTTCAATTTGTGGCGTGAACATTTCTTTATGTGGCCCTCGCGTTCAGTTTGATGGTCTTTATCATACATGGTGCGATCCGGAACTTCAAAGGAGGATCTGCAATGTGTTTTTTGGGTGCAAAAATTGTTTGAGGAATTTAGATTTTCATTCACTTTCATGGGGAGGGCTAGGGATAGTTTGGCACCACTTGGTCTCGGGAGATGGTTACGTGTTGGTGTTTTCAGGAGACTATTCTCATTTCCAGTGGTTGTGGCATTCTCATTTTTGTCGGGAATTAGACCATATCTTCTGATTGAGAACGTCTCATCGCGGTCAACAGAAGGCTGCAGGGTTATCCTGGTATTACAGTGTTCGCTGTGGTGGTGTCTGCACCGCACATCTCCCCCCCTGCAACAGTGCAGTGGTCTAGGGCAGTGTGCAGTGCTCTGCTCCAGAGACGACCTCATCACGGATGAACGAGCCGCGGTCACAGCAAACTTCACAACATCGTTTAATGAACGAACTCTCCTACCACGCTTCAAACAATCCTTTAGATGAATTTATCTGCAAAATCGTATGTCGTATGACTCTCAGTAGTATTAGTACAAGATTAATAACATTTACTGAATACTAGTTTTAATCTTTCGCATTTAATATGATCAAAATATTTTTCTTTAATTCAAAATACATCGAAAATCAGCTAAGCACAACCCTCTCTATCTAACAATGTTTCTCAGGAAAGCTGGCAACTCTTGCTTTGTATTAGCTTTGATTGCAGATCACTTCACTAGCGCTCTTTAATATTATATTGCCAACATACGATAATGTATATATGCGTATATATGCACCTAGATCACTTATATTAGATTAGATCAATTAACGACAGATCAGTCCCATCAACCACGACAGATCATTCCTAGCAAAGATTATCATGACAGGTCAGTCCCAGCATGCAACAACGACAGATCAGTCCCAGCAACAACGATATATCAGTCCCAGCAGCAACGACAGATCATTCCTAGCAAAGATTATCATGACAGATCAGTCTTGGCAACATTGACAGATCAGTCCCTGCAAAACCGTGTCGCTTTGACTCAGATTTGGTATGCAGACGCACGCATGTACGTTATAGACGAAAGTCAAGAACACGTTACACAAGAGCATCTAGCACAAAAAATATTTACTCAGATGAAACTGTAAGTTATTTTATTTTCATGGTTGAAATTAACAATTTTAAAATATATTTTAATGTTTTCTTGTAATTTGAGTTGCCATTTAGAGTAGGAATGGGGGCATAATGAATAGCTTCATTAAATGAACAATAGAAAAACATTTTACGCACGGATTTAAGTTAATCTCTTTAAACTGGACGATGGTTGAAAAATTTGCAGCTTATATCACTTGATTGAATCAACAAATAAAACCGTCTATAATAGGATGGAAAATTCAAACGTACATGGATTTTGGCAAAGGATTAGATTTGAATATTAATGGCCACTTTACATTTCACGATTGCCTGAGAAAATCATTTTGAAATTCTCATCACCTGAACTGTTAACAAATTATGCATGAAAAACACGACTTTCAAGTAAATTATAAAAGTAATTCCTTAAAACACTTTACAAGTTGAAATGAAACGTTAGCAAGACAATAAGTTGCTCCATGGAGCAAAGGCTGGAGCCGCTCTGGGCCTGTCAGTCCGGACCCTTTGGGGCCAGCGTACGCATAGTCGGTTACGAAACTCAGCTTCAATGCAAACAATATTTAGAAAATGTCGTACAATTATTAGTAGATAAATAAATTTATCGTTAGCGACACTCGAGACAAGTTAATGTCTGTACTCTTAACATTACATCGAGATGCACAACATCTTTGTTAACATCACACCCATTGACTGCTAATGTTATGAATGTTTTGAGTACAAATTCCTACACCACATCACGACATGATCACTGCACTTGGAGTGCATCGTAGTGCACTATTACTGCACCACCCTGATGCCACCTACACTAAACCTTGGCCCAAAGAGCACTGGTGGTGCATGCGCACCATCGTCACCACAGCGTCGTCACCACCACCACCACAGCCACCGAGCGATCGATAAAAATAGTAGTGCGCCTGCGCGCCGTCTGTGGTGGTGAGGGCGATGATGGTGACGCGATTCATCGCTGCGAAAAAAACGTGACCGCAAATTTTCTTCCAGGATATAAATGAATTTTTGCTTAATTTATTTGCGAAAAAAACGTGACCAAAATTTTCTCCCAGGATATGAATGCATTTTTACTCAATTTGTTCATGGATAATCAGGAAACTAATTTCAAAAATTAAATCCCAGAGACGCCAACCTCAAAATTCTGTGACAGCATAAACAAAAAAGCTTCTTTGCCATCATGCAAAATTTTAAAAATCTACAAAAATTATCGTCTTTTATGAAAATTTTCATTAATAGCAAAATTTTTAGTTTAAAATAAACAACGTTGAAAGCAATACTTTCGCTGGTGTACCAAACATTACAAAAAAGATGTACCTCTTGCATTAAAGTTAGAGATTGGTAAAAGTATTTTCTCTACCATAACTAAATTTAATTTATTTATCATTATTTATCTATCAATAAATTAAAAAAGCAGGTGATAAATGAATCAGGAAGAGCAGCGTGAAGTTTTTGAAGCAAAGTCCCGGGAAATATCCCAGCAGACGACTGACGCGCCAGGCGAAGGGAGCTCCGACCCCTGCGGTCACAGCACCAGCGAACTGCGCGTCCAGTGATCCAGGCCCTGCACTGGATAATTATGTACGCGCAGCACATAATGTAATTCACTGCACTGGATAATTATGTACTGATTACTGGACAGTGAAATCCATGAATTGCACTGTATAAATCAGTGGTTCCCAAAGTGGGCGATATCGCCCCCCTAGGGGCGATGGAAATATTTTGGGGGGGCGGTAAAGAAAAAGAGGGTGATAGGGGGCGATAGTTAGTCGACTTCGGCAGTCCGAAGTCGAAATCAGAAGTTCGAACAACAATACAAGTTTAGTTGACGATTTGTACACAACACGTGCAGCACATGACTCCCCATCGAAAGTTTTTTTTCACCCAGATCTGTTTCTAGCGCATTTTCTCATTTATGGAAAAAATGCACTATTGTGCTCGCGATACCCGTCCGTCTGTCCGTCCGTCCGAGACTTCACGTTTTCGTCGACGAGAAAATGCGCTCTCTGTCACTCACCGCAGTGAGCACTGTGTTATATTTTTTAACCTCTCCTGGGTTTACGTCTCCTACCAATTAACGGCCGGTCTCACGGCCAATTTCCAAATTCTATGGTCAAGGAATATCTCTCAAACTAATGAACTTAACTCGATAAAACTTGGTACACGTATTCATTAGGACCTTACGGTAATTTAAAGCTCGTGAAAATTTTTTGAATTTTGCCTTCAATTGTTTTTGCCATAGTTATATTACAGTACGGGCCGAAATTCACATTGATCAAGGAATTTCTTCCGAACTACTGAACAGATTCGAACGAAATTTTGAATTTACAGTCCTAACTACCGAACGGTGATGTTTAGCTCGTGAAAATTTTTTCGACTGTGCCTTCGTTCGCGAGTTTCATTCGTGATCTAAACAGCAATACGTGCTTAAATTCGCACTAATCAAGAAATTTCTTCCAAACTACTGGACATATTTGAACGAAATTTAGTATCTAAATACCTAACCTCAGCAACGGTGATGTTTACCTCGTTATAATTTTTTTGTTTTGCTTTCGTTTTCGAGTTATACGGCTATACGTAAACGGCTGTTGGTTAAACCAGCCGGTAGAAAAGCCGGTCGTTCCTCCTACCTATATCTGAATAACTTGCGAACGAAAGCGAATAAGGAAGAGTGAAATCAAGAATGACGGTGAAATGAAATAAATCTCGCAAACGACGGTAAAATCAAAAAATTTTTTGAATCTAAAAAACACCATTTGGTAGTTAGGAATGTACTGTATATTCAAAATTTCGTTCAAATCTGTTAGGTAGTTTGGAAGAAATTCTTTGATCACCGCGAATTTCGGCCTGTATCGCAATATAACTCACGAATGAAGGTGATATTTAAAAAATTTTCGCAAGCTAAACATCACCGTTAAGTTCTGATGAATACATGTTCCAAGTTTTATTGAGCTGCGTTCATTAGTTTTGGTGATATTACTTGATAATTGAATTTGGAGATTGGTCGTGAGACAGGCCACGAGTCCGGGCCGTAAATTTGCCCGAGAAGTCCTAGGTTTCTAGAGATGAAACAGTTAAAACAGCTGATAAGCATATTGGTTCACTAAAATGGGTTCTATTTGTGAAATACACATTTGTGTTTAACCTATATCTTTTAAAGTTGCAGCGTACTAAATTTTATAGAAAGAGGCGCATGATTTTATGTGTGTCTGTGGGGGGCGCTAGACATTCACTAGGGAGCCAAAGGGGGCACCAGCCTGAAAAAGTTTGGGAACCACTGGTATAAATCAATTCTAATTCCTGGACAGGCGGCCAAGCAAAGATATGAGTAATGTTAAACATTTAGCGAGTTTTATTTGTAATAAATTATAACTTTTCCTTTGCCTTGGCAAGACCGTCTAGGAAGTTGATATCTCTTTCATAATTTTCTCGTTAGTCATCATCTTTCTGCTGATCCCCGCTGTAGGTCAGTTTAAGCCCTAATAGGTGCCTTTTTATTATCTGAATATTTGTCATATTGTTTTGTTATACCTTTATTCAGCTTCAACGACGATTATTTAAAAGATCTACTCTTCAACAGGTGATCACGTTGCCAAGTGGGTTATTTACACCATTTTTCCATAGCTTAATATTTATATCCAAACGTCATTCCGTTAATAATTTACACTGCATTATATTCTCAGTTCCATTCTCTTTTCATTTGCAATCTCGTTTTACTGTGTTGTAAATCTTACCCCACATGTTCTTGATCTATTGTGCGCATGAAGCTCCGTATCAGAATCACTAAATTTACTATTCATGAATTTCGAAAAAACAAATTGAATGAATGGAATGAAGGAATGGAATTCCAACTAATATTTTTGCATACTTCTAGTCGAAGTACGAATATTATAATAAAGTTTTGTTGAAATGCCTCAACTCTAAGGCTATCTTTTAAATTTAAAATATATTGTATAATAATTATTATTATTATTATTATATTATTATTATTATTGTTATTATTATTATTATTATTATTATTATTAGTATTATTATTATCCATTAATCCATTAATGTGAGCGAGCGAGGAAAGCAAATAATTCCCAATTGTTTCTAACGTTCCTGTCTCGTTCGCCCGAGTTTCTGTTTAACCGCAAATGGGGCAGAGGAATTGAAATCTCGTGTGCCAAAATGTTGCGATTAATATAGAGTTGATTGAAATAAAGTGGGTAGCTGGAACATTTCAATTCCATAATTTAGGTTTCACTTATCGTGGAAGGTAATGGTTTGTTTTAAAGTTTATTTCAGTTCATGTTTCGTGAAACATAATATAAACACTAAAAAAGTTTCTACTAGGTCCTATACATAAAAATAACTGTTATAATATTCAGCGATCGTACATATGTTGCAGCCGCTGTTGCATGGTTGAAAAGCTATGAACCAAGGTAAACGTGTTTCAACGAACGCTGCCCAAGAAATAGAAGAAAACAATCCACATCATTATGGAAAATGAAATCTCAGTAAATTGCAATGAAATTGATTGAAAAGACTAGCTGAGCAAAAAAAATCAGTATAACAATAGCAGTTTGAACAGCACCAGAATCCATTTAAAACAAAAGCCTGGAAAACGAAGAAATCGCGTCGTTTTGGACATCTGAAGGAAGCGAGCTGGGATCAATCGATACCGAAGATTACTTCAAGGATTAAAATATGTTAATTTATAATTACCGCAGTTTTTTTTATATTGGTTGGACGCCAATTAAATCGATATTCAAGGAGTCTGTAAAATTAATGTGTACGTGGAGAATAAAAACTCCCAGGAATGAAACCTCAACCTAGCAAGACATTTCATCAGTACAAATCTTTACACTTTAGCCAAGAAAAGTATAAGAATCGGCGACAGGCCTATCCAGGCCTATTCTTCAATGCCGAAGATAATATACTAAATCTTGGATCAGTCTGGCCTTCTTCACTCCTAACACCGGGTAATAAAGTTGTAAATATTGTCCGGAAAATTTTAAGAATATGCGTATTCGTTTTAATTGATGATGTTATCTATATAAACAAAATCGCAATGACGACATGTGATAAGATACGTGTTGATCAACGTCATATCGATAAGAGATTAGATCCAATGGACCATCTATGCACAGTTAAGCGCTGCTCAGTTGGTGGTATCACCTGGACAAGTGATAGTAAACCTCATGTCCGTGTATATGGTTCAGGTCCTCATGGGGATATGATTCTTTTCAGCACATTTTCTCATATATGGAAAAAATCCCCTATTGTGCTCGTCATGTCCGTCGTTCTGTCCGTCTGTCTGTCCGTCCGTGACTTCATGTTTTCGTCGACGAGAAAATGCGCTCTCTGTCACTCACTGCAGTGAATACTGAGTTAAATTTTTTAGTATGGATTTCATGTGGCGTAGTGAAGTATAATGAGATGGTTATAGTTTCTATGTGAGATTTCGTGAATATTTATTTAGAACTAAAATGTCGTTCTCATGTGATTGAGTCTCAGTGCTGACTGTTATAACGACGAATTTTTCTTTACATGTTAATGTAGGACCATGTTAAATGAACCTGTCATTCATGAATGTATACGAAAACTAAGTTAATTAATGTTTTAACTTAGTCGTAACGTAAAATATTTATAACGTTTTTTAAAAGTCGCTTTTATGTTTGGATTTTTGAACTCTGAATTGGGCTTTGAATTCTTTTAATTTTGAACCCTTCAACGATTGTTTTGAAAATGGGCGGCCGTTCTCTCCAAGTGATGACAAATTACTGATTTGTCCACGGGACGATGACAACAATGATTGCGAGAACCTTATATACTGTCGCAATGATTGCCTCAAGTAAGTCCTAATGTTAATTGATGTGAATTTTATATCTACTCACGCGATGAAAATTATTTACTCTCGTGTTGCCCATGACCGTGCCACAGGAATTTCATGTTCAATTATATCCAAAAATAGATGCGCTGGTCAAAATTATCCGCCTGTGATATCAGAAAGAAGTTATAATAAAATAATTCGGGTAATTCATCTCACAGGCTTCTCCATGATGACTTATAGCTACGAGAACGACAACTTAAGCTACACAGAGTGTCTTAATGACACAGACTGTCAGAGCAAATACAACTGGGAGGCCCCATACCAGGAGTGTGTCTCAGGACTGTGCAAGTGTCCACTAGGAACATGTCAGATCACCACGCAGCTCAGCTTCTGGAACAGCCAACTCGTCCGATACTATTGTGGCACGTGTGGTGAGTGGTGCGCGTGTGGTGAGTGGTGAACTTGTGGTGCACGTGTGGTGAGTGGTGCGCGTGTGGTGAGTGGTGCACGTGTGGTGAATGGTGCGCGTGTGTTGAGTGGTGCTGGTGTTATATGTGTGTGGTGAGTGATGCCCGTGTGGTGAGTGGTGCTGGTGTCATATGTGTGTTTTGAGTGGTACGCGTGTTGTGAGTGGTGCGCGTGTGGTGAGTGGTGCTGGTGTTATATGTGTGTGGTGAGTGGTACGCGTGCGATGAGTGGTGCGCATGTGGTGAGTTCTTTTGAAATCCTTGTTTTGCAATGAATTTATGTTTTGTTGCTGCTGATGCTGAAAAACTGATACAGAAAAATTTTGTAGGTATTTGGGCAAAAGCCTGTGCCATACCTGAAATCATGATGTGGTTGTTCACATTACGACCATCAAACACTTATTAACTGTAAGCAAGGATACATATTTCCATTTTAGCTTGAAACTCATATATATTCTCGCTTCTGTAAAATTGTTCATTACGAAGATATATTGAGTTAAAATCATGATCAGAAAACACATTTTGCCAATGCTACCTTTTTACCCTCCATTGCTCTACAGGCAGCTATGGGTCACAGTGCTCAAGCGATGAATCTTGCCTGCCTCCAGACAGTCTCTGTGACATATACTGTAGATGTCCTAATGACCACGGCTATGTATCCTACGGCTTCTGGTATGTATAAATACACATTGAACGTATCATTCGTGAATATTTATACACGAAATACAAAAATAACGTAAATTTATGGAAATATTAAAATTAAATCATATTTCTCAGAGTCTATTACCGCTGCATCTTAAAATTTTCAAGTTTAATTAAGAACTGAAAAATCTTAGTGTCAAGTGCAGGTCTCATAAGGATTTTTTGTGCATTGATGGTTTACGAAACTCACGATTTATTTTGTTATTGGCGACTATAAAGCAGTAAATGTTAGCAATTAATAACTTAAGATTTAAGCGCAATTCTTGAAAAATAAGGTAAACATTCACGCGAATAATTTTCTAAAAATAGAATATAATTTTGAAAACTTTACAATTTAATCATTAAGGTTGCAAAATTTACTAGTATCAAAAATGCAAGAAAATTAGCTTGTTTTAATTTATATCAAATTGCTGAGCAAACTAATGTGACACTGTCAGTGAGTATTAAATATGTTGAAATGTTGCCTACAGCCATGTGTTCGTACCGACGTCTGCTGTGAGCTCCCTTAACCTGGTGCTGACGGGGGTTCTGATCCTCATAATCATCCTCAACAAGTTCATGAATTCGTACGCATGTCGATGTCTTGCCACGCGCTTTATTGCGTCGTTATTTTACTGAGTCATTTCTTGCACGTCATATACATATATTAGTAGTACTTTCATCGAACATGATGTCCTATACTAGTAGGACTTTCGTCAAGCATGGTGTCCTACACTAGTAGTACTTGCTACGAACATGATGTCCTATACTAGTAGGACTTTAGTCGAACATGGCGTCCTATACTAGTAGGACTTTCGTCAAGCATGGTGTACTATACTAGTAGTACGTGCTTCGAACATGATGTCCTATACTAGTAGTAATTTCGTCGAAAATGGTGTCCTATACTAGTAGTACTTTCGTCGTACATGGCGTCCTATACTAGTAGGGCTTCTGTCGAATATAGCGAGTGGTATCCTCCTATAAAAGTTGGACTGTCGTTTCACATGGCGTAATGTAATCACGTTTGTCAAAAAGTTTGTGTAGAAAGTTCTTGTCAAGATCAAAACGTGCGCCTATTGGAATAAATTTCTAAACAATTTTGACAGAATGATAGAAAGAAATACGAGTAGTTGTTATTGGTCAAAGGGAAAATAATTTGTTTTGAAACTCGGCCGGAGAACATGCGAACCAACAGCCGTGCAGAAACAGCCAGATCGTTCCAATACTCATAATCAGTGTGAGATTCTGTATACGAAAAGAAACTTATTGAGTTAAGCTATTATTACGATGTGAAGAAATATCAATACATGGAGATGAAAACGCGTATGATAGCCATGAGAAAAGGACACGCCTATATTTGAGGCTATCAGTTAGACTCCTTCACAGCTGAAGGCCCGCATACTGTCATGGCGTATTCTCCGCGCCATCCTTTGATTAACAGCAACTTTACTCGTAAATTAAGTAACCTTCTTAAATTTCCTATAGCAATCTGTCTATTTATTGGCAATCTTTACATATTAGCATAAAATATTCAAACTCGTATATCTACCGTAATCGCCAAGTTAAATTATACACATTACTTCTGTGGCAGTGAGCAAATTTTGAATTTCTTTTTTAATAACAAATATATTGATTTTAGTCTCTGTTAGTCGTTATTTCCAAACGTTTCTGAATCAGCGTCTTAAACAAAGACCTAAAAAATCTTTCCCTTTAACTAACGACGGCCACTTTCATATAAAGTGACCAATCACTAAAGCAATGAATAAGTCATATTGTGCAACTATATACATAACACGCCAACGACATGTATAGGTCTGACATATTTTTTGTCAGGCAAAATTTTACCTCGGGCTCATATTTTTTGTCATTTTATATATTTTTTGTCATTTTATATTTTTTTGTCATTTTACCTCAAAATTTTTGTCATTTTATATTTCTTTGTCATTTTACCTCATATTGTTTGTCAGGCCAAACGATAACCTCGGCAGTGAGAAGAAGTGTGTTGCTATTCGGACAATGTATGAATTATTTCTCTTAGTGAAGGCGGACGTTGATCTCTCCCAAGTTGACTCCATAGTGAATGTTGATATTTATAAATCATCTCTGTTGTCATATAAGGCCTTAACAGCTAGAAATAGAAATGACAAGATTATGT